TACGTTTTGTGTGTATAAAGATGTTATATGCATAACATGATACATTACTTACAGACGAATGTAATACAAGCACGGGTAGGTGGATGTGAGGATAGATAAATGGTTAGCTCCATCGTACAGGGGAGACAGACAGAGAGAGAGAGAGAGGGAAACAGTGAGAGAGAGAGAGAGACGGAGAGCGAAAAAGATAGAAAACGAAATAAAAAAGAATCAGAGTGAAAGGGAGAGAGAGAGAGAGAGAGAGAGAGCGAAAAAGATAGAAAACGAAATAAAAAAGAAGGAGAGTGAAAGGGAGAAGGAGAGAGAGAGAGATAGAGAGAGGGAGAGAGAGAGAGAGAGAGAGGAAACCAAAAAAGTTGGATTCAGGGCCACAGTAGTATGGAGGGACGAACAAGCAGGCGGGGAAAATAGACTGGCATACGGTATACGAATGTGTAGAGGTTAATGGATAGACACATAGACTAGATAAATTACTTAGATTGGATAGATTAGATAGACTAGATAGGTGGGATAGATTAGATAGACTAGATAGATAGATAGACGGATGATGGATCGATAGATCGCTAGATCGATCGACTGCTAAATAGACAGATAGATAGGTCGGTAGGTAGGTAGGTAGGTAGGTAGAGCGATAGATAGATAGATAGATAGGTCGCTAGGACATGCATCTCTAGATTCTAGATCGTACATACACGCGACTTTGCACTCGCACTGAAGCGTGCACGCACGCGCTCGCACACACTTACACACACACACACACCGAAACAAAAAGAAGTCAAGTGCTGCCCGCCTACGACATACGGTCAGTTATTACAAACAGAGAGGAATAGATCAAGATATTGTTAATCTAGTTCATGGCGGCGATAGTATTTTAAAGCTCTAAATTTCTCTAAATTTCAATTCCTTGTTAGGTTTAAGTCCCCACAAACATGCAAAATGTTACCCAAATATCACAGAAAAAAGATGTTGGCAGAGACAACGATGTACGATATGTGCCTGCACTCTTGGCATATCTGTCCTCACATGTTCTACACGTCCAAGTCTTCAGGTCTTTATGCATGGTTCCCTGCCCAAGGGAGAAGATATCCAGCAGTACTGCTCAGTGGAATCCATGCCGAATACATTGGGCTTGGCGGTGTCAAGACCACACGTCTCAGTAGTCACAAACGAAGACAATCACACGGGAGGTTGAGACAGTAGATTTTTCTTGTATACGATGTACCATATATCTATAACAGACACACTGTAGATCATGCCGTATATGGGGCGCCTGGTAGTATTCACCTGCACACTGCAAACCTGCGTAAAAGGAGACCCCGATGCGAGCCCCTGCCTTCCAAGTACTCCACGACTCATAAAGCACTGCTAGAAGTAAACCTTATGGCTGCTACAACGATTCCTCGTAGTGTTTACTACCATCCCCACTACTACTAGCACTCTCTGTCTTTCCTATTCCAAGAACTGTACATGACCACAAGTCACTAGTACCATCATTTCCGGTCTATTTCTAGGGCCGTCTTCGTTGGTCTACGACGACAACCCTAAACCTCTAAACCCCTAAACCCCAAAGCCTAACCCCTGAAGGCTTCATCTCTTTTTTTGAGGGCCCGGCCACGGCACCGGAACTCCGGCAGCTTCAGCAGCGGCTCTGAGAGAGGCCCCACCATGCCGGCAGGGCTCCGCGGAGCGCTAGTCTCTGGGACTTATGCCTTTTAGGGGTTTAGGGTTCCTTTAAAGGGATCTATAGGGGTTCTATAAGGGATTTTGATGGTCATCCTGACTACCGCTGCAGTGCTAGAGAAAATGGAGTAGAATGATCGAAGAAAGCCATCAGTATCATCGTCAGGGACCTGGCCATGGTTTGAAGAAGCCTTTCTGTTTAAGAAGAGGGTGTTGCAGTATTATTATTGAAGATTACGAGGACTATTGCATGCTACTATTTATTAGTATTGCTATTCATATTATCATTACCAGAAATAAGACGGTTTTTATTTGTGTCCTAAGGGGGTTGTTCAGGCAGTGACAGGACCAGCTTCTTGAGGCTCCTGTGAGGTCAGAAGTTTTGGGGGGTCAAAGCTCTGGCGCCCCGGGTCTCTCCCCGGCCGCTTTGCAACTCTGAGCCTGCAGTTGCGACGACGCCTCGATTTCTATGGGGTTCTCGGATTCTAGGATTTAAGGATTTTCGGCTTTAGGATTGAGCTTTAGTAGGGGTTTGCAGTGTTTAGTGCAGGGTCTATTTTAAAAAATGGTCCCTTGCTGTTGTGCAACCCACGTGAACTTGCAAAATAAGCCACAATACTTCTGTCCAAAACCGGCAAAAAAAAACGGAATTTCGGGGCCTGAGTAGTTAGAACTTGGCTGTGGAGCATAGCATTGTATAACTTTGTAGGGATTAGCATGAACCTCAAACCTTGCTTTCTCAAATTGGAGGAGACTAATCTAGGGGCCTTAATAATTAGAATAGGGTTTTATGGATATATTGTTTTATTAAACCCTGAAAAATAGTATTGGTAAGTGTGCTGCAGATGCAGCATCCGCGACTTTGTCTGAAACCCGAGTCAATGATTCATGCCGGAAGGATAGGCATGCGCAGAGATCCGAAGCCCAGAGGGCAGCAACCACTTCAACTCATACAGTAGGGACCCTCAGGGGGGTAGGGGGGAGGGGGGTAGGGTTCTTTGCTGCCTTAAATAGGCCCTACTGGGTCCTTATTATGGGCAGAAATGCCCTCTACCCCCCTCCCCCTACGCCCCTAAGGGCCCTATGATCAACAGCTTCCAAGGCTCGTCGACATCGCCTGGAAAGAGTGCCAAACTCAGATGTGTCGCTGCTCTCCCTCGAAATACCTCCTTGTGTGTCTCGGTGTGTGTATCTACATACCAACAACAACCATGGTAGAGAATCTTGAGCGCGAGCAAAAGAATTATGCGACAACCTGCAGCCTTCCAAAGCCTAGCCAAATCACAATAGCATACCTAAGATAGCCTTCTGGAGACCACCGGCGCCACCCTCAGATCCGGATCTGGAGGTCGCGAGGTCTACTTGGAGCTCAAGCACAGCGGTGGCTTACTGCCTCTTGCGTTTCCTTCGGAAGGGCGTGGACATGTGGACTGTTAGGCCGATCGCCTGTAAACCGGTAAGCCCCAGAATTGCTCAGTGAAACTGCCCCAAGGTTGGCCTCTGTCTGGCTGCGTCGCAGCCCCAGCCATCTGGAGTGACTATTCGGACCCTAACTCATCTGCCGTCTATTCCTTTCTCGCATGGCTTCAAGGCATTCAATGCAAAAAGGGCTCTCTTCAGTCGTAGGACTTGACTTGACAGGTAGACCCCTCTTTGTGCAACCCTCACCTGGCAGCCGACCTCCTCATCGGCCTCTGCCGGGAGCTCTTCCTTGGCGGCAAAGGGACGTCGGGCCCAAACGAAGGATGAAGATGAAGAGAAAAGTTTGAAGTCTCACGGCGATTATGGTGATGCGGGACGACTATTACGACTCCTACTCCTACTCCCCCACTCCTCCCACTCCTCGCACTCCTCCCACTCCTCCGACTCCTTCGACTCCTCCGACTCCTCCTGCTCCTGCTACTCTGTGGCTGAGAGCCGGGCCTCATCCAAGGGTTCACCCGAGCCAGCCTCGAAGAAGAGGTTTCGAGGGCTTCGGCGGGGGTCATAAGTGTTTGGGGCTTGGGGCTTCAGGTTTTAAAGGGTACTAGGGCTCAGGGTATAGGGTTGAGGGCACTAGGCAAGGGTACGATGAGGTTTTGAGGTCTTAGTTTAGGGTTGGGCTGCTGGTCGTCTGGGCTTATTTGCTTGCGATGTGAGGGTTTCTTCTAAGTGGACCCTCTGTCTCTGTGTGTGTGTGTGAGTACCGCATTCTGCCAGCCCCAAGCCACGAAGTCCGAGACCTAGGCCTCTGCGCAATTTAAGAAATGGATGCTCCGGGACTTCTCGGCTCTCAATGCCTCAAAGAACTGCCAGGAAAGAGGACCCCCCCCCCCAAAGAGAACTCGAAGGGGATGTTTGGGTTCGGGGCTTCGTGGAGAAGGGCTCAGGAACCAGGGTACCCTCTGCAAAAACGGCAGCGGGGTGAGCTGAAATGGGATCATGTGGGGGTTGTTCTAAATTATGGTCCCTTTTTGGGCCCTATGGTAGTATAGTCCTTATTATATAGGGTACCCAAAAAGGGACCATAATTTAGAACAGCCCCCATGTGCAATTTGCACAAGCCTACTAGAAGATTACACTCCCGTACCAAAAACACTTCTCCGCGTTTGGGATCCTCGTTGTACTCACCCACGACGCAGAAAACATCTACTCCCAGGTGCTTAATTAAAGGGAACCGCAAAACTGAACGATCCCTGTCCAACATGAACCCCTAAACCCCTAAACCCCAAACCCTAAACCCCAAACCCTAAACCCTAATCCCTACATCCCTAAACTCTAAATCCTTAAACTTAAACCCCTAAGCCCTAAACCCCTGTCCAACATGAATCAAGCAGCCGCTGGCATGACTGGAGGTCTCCGCCCATCGCCAGGCGCAAGTCGACGAGTCAGAAGCTTGGGGCTTCAAGGTTTAGGGTTTAGGGGTTTAGGGTTTGGGGTTTAAGGGTTAAGGGTTTAGGATTTAGGGTTTAAGGGGGAAGGCGTCTCGGCTCAGATAGCTGTCTTGGTGGTCTTAACGCATTCCTCCTTGCGGCTATTAGGTTCCAGACCCTAGCGTAGCATCTACGTGCCGCCTCCGACCTGGTGGTCCTAGGCCTGGGAGCCGTCTCCCTTCACCTTCGGGTGCTGCCGCCACTGGTTGGCAGGCTTGCCTTTTCCCGCGTGGGTGGCGCCACGCTTCCTGGGCTTTTTCTGCGGATTTGCCCCCGCCCTCCGACGCTGCAGTTTGATCTGCCGTCGGCATCTCTGTCGGCCCTGCAGTGCTGATCGGCCTTTTCTTCGCGGTTGGCCCCCGCTCTACTGTTGCTGCAGTTTGATCTGCCAACAGCGTGTGGTTTTCTATGGTCAGGGGAAGAACCTTTTGGCCCATCCTCCCGCTCCTGCTCTTTGGTTTTGGCTTATTTGGGCAGGTCAACCTCCTCGCGATCCGCAGGTTCCAGGAACCAGGGTGGCACCGGCGGAGACGCAGGCAGCGTCTCCAAGCCAGACTTCGTCTTCGCCAGGGTCGTGGCACATTGAAGGACAGTGCTCTCTTATCTCAACACCACGGGTCGATGCCACCCAAGGGAACACCTTCGAAAGAAAGGAGCAGGGGCAAGGGCGACAGCAAGGGCAACAGGCCAGAGGGCCCCTTGCCGACTGCGTCCACTGTTCAGTTGGGATTCCCGCAGGAGGTGATTGCTGCTCTGCAGTCTATTCGCGACAGGTCCACGTCGGACCTGAGACTAGACGACTTCACCGTGGACGAGGACCGAACTCTTATTCAAGCGGCCAACCTCCAAGCGTCCGCAGTTGCCCGCGCGACCAAGCGTCTCGAAGCAAATGCGAAAGCCAAGCTGGGGCTTCAGACAGTGCTTCCAGCCTGGTTGGACAAGGTGGGACGCCATTTGGCGGCTATCCCACGCCAGATCAATGGTGTCGGGGCCAAGATCGATGCAGATATCCAGGAGGCCATCATGGCTTTGGACATGGCGTCACAAGGGCTGGTGGCAGGGCAAGCGGCGGCTTTGAGACAGCAGGCGACGGAGGTGCTCGGGCCGGCGATTCCTGCCGTGGTCGGGCACGAAGTCCTTCGGCTGGCTGCGGAACTGCGTGCGGCTGGTGCAGTCGCCCCGCCGGCATCAAATGTGCCACAGCCGCATGCGGCGCTCCCTCTCTTCGGGAATGCAGAAGAAGGCATGCTGGTAGAGCCAGGCAGTTTTGCTTCTGTCCCTGCCAGCTCGATACCATCCCTGGACTCCTCCCTTGGCGCCCAGCACGCGGCGGTGGCACGAAGCCCGGACACTCTGGACACATCGGCCCCGGTTGGCACAGGCCTGGGACGGAGATGGGGTCAAAAGAGGATGACGAATCCGGTCTCGACCAGGCCTTCCAAGAGCCCCCGCAAGACTGGCAAGATCGCCTCAGACGGTCACACAGAGATTCTGCGCGAGGCAGAGGTGCCGTCACCTTGGCTATCGACGACCACGGGCAGATCGCCCACTATGAACAAGCCTGCGGCGATATTCAAAGCAGACGATGCTGGTGGTCACGCACCAGGTACCGCTTCAGGATCTCTGGAAGAAGAGGTAGTCCCATCTGGACTTTCTGCAGATGCGGAACAAGGCGAGCGAGACTGGCAGTTTGCTCAGCAAGCGTGGTTTCATGCGTGGATCGCCATGGCTCAGCGCATCACTGCCCAAGGCTCGGATCTGGTCGGCGATGTTCCGGGTCACCTGGAACAGGTGCATCTGCCAGGACAACCTGCCAGTGCCGACGAGATCAAAGAGTGCCACCAAAAGGCCGAGACCCTCTGGCAAGCCTTGCGTGCACATGCGGAGCATCCCGAAGAGGTCAAGGGCCACCACATACTGCAGGTCAGCCGAGAGTTACAACACCTCGGCGGGATGATACACTCGCAGCCAGTGTTGGTAACCACATGCAGGCAAGGATTGGTAGCTCTGGCCCACCTTCTCAACCAAAGAGTGGCGGGACTTTCCAACTTTGCCCCACAAACGCTGCAGGAGTGGGCAAACCCTCATGTGGTACTCCAGCAAGGCCTGCAACCACAAGGACACCTGACAACGACTCGGACAGAAGACGACGTGGAACTGCTCCTGATGGAACAGGACTGTCCCTTCGAATGAGTCACAGTGCAATCGGAGACGAGGCTTGGAATATAACTCGAAGGCTGGACGTGGGAGTTGTACAGATGTTTTGGCGAATCTGTACAGTGATTTTCCTGGGAAGTTTTGCTCTTCTCGCCCGTCAGCTGTGCCATCGACTCCTCGGTTGCTTGTGCCTTGGAATTGGGCCCCTCTTCCGCCTCGCCCTCTGTCCGGTCTGCCTGCGCTCCTGCTTTCGACGCTCCCGGGCAAAGGTTCATGGAAGAGGCACCTCGGGCAAGGCAGGCAGTGGCAAACATGTGCGCGTCAGTATTCTGCTGTGGCTCATCGCCTCATCCCACGTTCACGCTGGCGGATCGGGCCCTCCACCCCAGCCATGGACCGCGCCAGACATCGGCAGCTCTGACCATTCCTGCTCTTTCGCCTCTGGAAGCTGCACAGGGGTAGCCCATGACGCTATGTCACTCGTGCAGGTGAGACACAGTCGGAGATTTCGAGGGGAATCCCTTCTCACTGTTGGCACTGTTCCGCGGGCACATGGGTTGCATGAACTTGAGGGTCCCCTCATCAGTGCTGCAGCCGGACTCCCTAACCCCGGAAGCCCCGAACTCTACTGCCTTAGGCCCATCGCTGTCTTTGTGGCAGGACATACGTCCGGAGGCCCGATTCAAGTTGCGATTGACACGCGGCTGCACGGGGTTCAGTTGCACAGGGTCATTCTGCAGCTTGTGGGTCTGTCATTCCAGCTCTGGCATGTCCACGAGCTCCAAACATTGCTGCCTGCCTTGCCTTTGGAGCAGGTTGTCGTCATTCCCAATGATGTGGCATGGAACCAGGCATGTATCCCAGTTGACCTCTGTGCCCTTGGAGGTACCATTTCGGTGGTCCGGGGGCCACGTCAACAATTGGCCAGTTACTTTCTGGTTGCCGCCGCTAGAAGCCAGGATCTGGATCTGGATCTTGCCTCTACTGTATGTCGCACTCGGCATGGGTTCTTTGAGCCAGAGTGCCAAGCACTCCTCCTCCACGGCAACGATGCACTGCAAGCACTACCTGTGTATGCAGAAGAAATGAGAGGCAGCCGAAGTCCTGCCTACTCAGCGGAGCATCGAATGGCGGTCAGCTCCTTTGATGGAACTAATCAGGGTTTTGAATTGATTGTCAATCCTCATGCCAGAGCTGTGATCATTACGCTCACTGGTCTCGTCTTCTACGACACGGACCCGTTCCAAGATCGGGACGAACTCCTTCGTGAAGCGTATGAAGCGGTTGGAGATGTGGGTCCTCTGCGCTTGCAAAGGGTTCGGCCGCATATGCCTGGACTGCCGCCACTGCAATTCGCACAAGCCGAGCAGTCCGCTCTTCAGGTCACATATGTAGTTGATGCCCGTGCAATTGGGGGTGAAATTAGTTTGGTTTACTTGGGACCCCGGACCCCTGTTGCCGATGTCCTCATGCAACTCCCCACCTTCAGGCAAGCTGGTCCCACAGGACATGAGATTCTGCGAGGACTACACGAGGGTCACTTGAGGCTCATCCATCAGGAAGTTGTAATTTCTCCCACCACTTTCCTGGACAGTGACCCTCCTGTTTGCCTGACTCTTGTCCCTCACCGCAGATCTCACACAGCGGGCCAGGCCAGAACCGAGACCGCCACGCAGCCGCCGGCGGACGCCACCTTGTTGCATCCTGGTGGTAACATTGCAGCCCCAGCACCCCAAGCTAATCCTAGCGCTGCTGGATGGATCAGTCTCGGGTTGCTTCGACAGGGATGGTTGAGGAATGTGCTCTTGGCCGGGTACTTCGCGTCCTTGGTATCTGCTGGTCGTGCGGCTAGTGAGCCTACCGATTTGACGGGCACGGCTAGAACCATGCCCCTTCCCCGGTTCCAGCCCGATTTGGTTTATCACGATGCCTCGATGCACCTCCGACTGCAACAGGGTTTTGTCACAGGCCTTGAGGGTGACTTTCTGCCGAGTGTCTCTGGGTATGGCACCCTCCATCATGATCTGGAGGTCAATGTTTGCCTTTGGGCCCCGGAACACTTTGAGGAATTCAGAGTTCCAGGATCTATGTCTAGGCATCGCCTTCGCGAAACACTCACCGAGAAGGCCAGGTCATGGGGCCGAGGCCAAGTTGTCCCTGCAGCCACGTCACCACACGCGCTGGCTGTACACTTCGTCGCTGTCACTACCGAGTCGGGATATCGCACTACTCTCTTCGCATCGGATACATCCTGTATCTGCATCGATGTGCCTCGTGAAGCTCCGCAGGACTTTCTTTTGAGACAATGTGAGGCCAAGCTGCGATCCGACTGTGTGCGTTTCCTGCCGATGGCTACTCCGCTCCGGCATGGCGATGTCATTCGGGTTGAGCTTGACAAGGAATTTGGGCGAGCCGACGCTAGCCGCTTTCTCCTTTACTCGGAGCTCGCTCGGCCATCTCGGTGGTTAGATGTGCTGCCGTATCGCCAGCTTGCGGTCGTGACGGTTCATCGCGGTGTGCAAATTTTACACGACACTGTCACTGGCCGAAGCCCTCACAGTGCGGTTCAAGCATGGCTTCGGGAGCGGAATCATGTGCCTAGGCAGGCTGTGGAGGTCCCGGAGCTCTCCAACCTGGTAGGCTTTCCTTGTTTCCAGACCATTGTAGCTGGTCCCACTAATGCCGTCCTGTGGCTGCACGACCATTTTGGCAACTCCAACACTGGGCTAGCCTTGGCCGCGGTTGGTTCCTTCTCTGTTGCGGTCGATGTGCTTGAAGCATGTGCACGAACGTCTACTTCAGCTAGAGCAGTGTGCAGCTTGGTGTCCACCGCAGATCTCAGGACCGTCCACACCGTGCATGGCCTGTGTGCTCAAGGAACGGGCACTAAGACTCTGTTTGTTCGCATGGCATTTGACCTGCAAGCTCTTCCTGGAGACAGCATTTCTGTCCACCGTCAAAGGGCAACAGTTCTGCGTACTCGGACTCCCATCAGGCTGGTCGGATCAAGTCGCAGTCCGGCCTCCAGGCAAGGTGCTGCTGCCACCAGGGCTGCCTCACCGGTCCGAAGCCCTTCTCCTAGGTTTGCTATACCGGTCTGCCATCCCTCACATCTCCAGGATGCTGACGGAGACCTCCGAGTCATCCGGTGTGAAACCGATGACGTTACGTGTGTTGTCCGCTGTGGTCCACACATGCAGATTTGGGCCCTGAAGATCGAGGGCAGATGGAGCGGTGCATGCACTCCCCAGGTCTCTTGGGACGCTGTGGTTTCCCTCAATAGTCTCACTCCGTGGGATGCTGCTGATCTTGTGGTCACGACTGAGGACCAATGGTGGAGATACCCTCAAGATTTGAACACTGCCGCGGGGCGTTGCCTCACATTGCATCAGACTTGTGAAAACGGCCGGGAGGTTCTAGGACAAGGGGCCACCCCCTCGGCCCACCAAGCAGCCTCGGTAGTTAGTGTCGCTCTCTGGGCTCTTGGGAAGGCCCCACTCAAATGGCTCTCCCTTGGGTGGATCCTTGGCGTCACTGCGCGACCAGCTCAGCAGGCTTCTTCCACATCGGAAGAATCTCCAAATCCCAATGCCACCGACAGTGAGCCTTCTCTCTCCATCTCCACTGTTGCAGTTGAAGATCAGAGGGACGATTGCTGGAACTCTCCCTTAACGCCTGCCCTCGAGGCCAGTGCAACGGCCGCCATGTTCCCTCTCGACCCTCAGCATGTCTACTCTTGGTTATGCTCGCTCGGGGCAGCACGTCATGACCTTCGGCTGTGGACCGCCATGCGAGGACCTGCCTTGGTTAGGTGGGCTGACACTGCATCCGAGTTTGACCAGGCCCTTAGGCTAGGCGGCTTCTGTCCCGAGGAACAAGATTTGTTTGTGGCTGCTGACACAGACCCGTATACGCTTGAGCTAGTGGCTGTGCCGCGAGGACAAGGTAGCTGGTGGATTGTGCGTGACTTACTTAGTCGCGAGCTCCTTGAATTAGACCAGTCATTTGGTTTCCCTGTGCTGGACATCGGCTGGCGGTCACTACTAACTCTGCGGGTGAAGTCAATGCTCTGGCCCATCACAGCCGGATGGCACGCTGCACGATTCCACCTCAGGGAGCACGGGCCACGGTTGTCAATCCGGTTGATGGTTTCACTGCAGCGCTCGGTCAAGGGGGGCTCATACTTGCACTTAGTTCTGCATGGCGAGGCGCACGACCCTCGATGAGTACCATCAGCCTGGTTTGCCTTCTCTTTGCCGGGTTGCCAGGGGTCTCCGGCGCACAAGTGGTCTCCATTGGAATCCGTCCGGGCCGTCAGTTCGGCCTGGTCGCCATGTGGTTACTTGATGTTGAGGTCTGGACAGGGAACTGTATGCAACAAACAGTCCAGATCCCACAGGCGCGCGTGTACACGGCCATCCGCATCTGGATTGTCGATCATCCATCTCCCATTCAACTGTCAGGGCCTCCTTGGCCGACTGAGGAGGAAATTCATGGCATTGTTCAGTTAGGAGGGTTCGGGGTCGAGCGGGGCATCCTCATTCCTATTCGAGGTGCAGCTGACTCAGCCGTCTACGACGCAGCCTATGTACCCCTGCATTTTGGCCATTCCGGAATCGTTGCTTGCCTTGTGCAGCTCGAAGGACGTGCTGCTGTTTTTGCTTTCGATGCGCAACATTTCGACTGGGCTGCCTTCGGAAGGTGGGTCGCGGACGTGTTTCGTGATGCCACCCAGTCACAGTCACTTGGGTTCAGTTTGGGCAACTGTGGGTACTCCTACGGACAAGCAGTTCAGAGAAGGAATGGGGATCTCGTAGTTCTGCACTACCCACGGCCCCGGCACACCGCATATCTGGCACCTCCTGACCCATGGGCGCTTGAGTCACCACCCCCTTTGCCAGCCCGGATGCTCCAAACGGGCCCTACACGGGGAGCGCCCATCAATGCCTACTTGTTGCCACAAGGCGCCGAAGGTGTTGGCATAAGTGGTCACCGCAGGTGGGCACTCAACCTCGCCGTTGGTCCTAGCCCACTCCAGCCAGCTCTCCCTGCTGGCCCTGCGGGCTCCACTGCCTGTGGGGTCCCGGCAGAAGCTGTCATTTGCCCACGGAACAGCTATCCTTCCCTTCAGGCTTGTTCTTCGTTGGTCACACAACGGCATGCTGCAATCCAAACTGAACCGGGAACGGCCACATTAGACGATGTCTGGTGGGCCATCCAGGATATGCAGTGCCAACTCGCTGCCCTGGCTGCCCAGGCTCATGTCCCAGCGGCCGAAGGTTTGCCCTCCGCAGAGGTAACCTTACTGCAGGGTCGAGGCCGAGACGGTGATAACACACCCACCTTCCGTGGGACCGAGAACTCGGGATCTCTTAAGCCTGCCCTTCTTGTGCCCGGCGTCTGCCTTTTTGCTGGAGTTGCCTTGCAGAGGCACTCGGCTGCACGTACTTGGGTCATGCCCCTTGCCTTTCTCCTTCCAATTTGGGGAGCGCCCACCTTGGCGGGGGACCGAAGTCGGTCGAGATCTCCGGTGCCTGCCGGTCGACACATGCCATTCCTTCACTCAGGAGGCCAAGGGCCTTGTGGGTCTACCGGTCAGCATCGGCATGCGCATACGCTCGACCATTTTCCTGGCAGACCACTTGCGGTAAGTGTTGCTGAGGACAGCAGGGCTCGCACCTCTGCTCCAATTTCGGAAGAGCAACCCCTTAATTTTCTTCGGGTCGCTGATGCTCCTTCCATTCAGCACGTGCAGTCTGTCTACTTGCAAGCGGAAGAGTCCGCTGGTTTGGGGGTCCGCTTAGGGGCTTCACTTGCACGCGTCCCCCTTCGCTTGCATGATCCCTTTCAACGACATGGATGCGCGCCTCTCTGGCTTCCAGTTGGAAGCCCGGGTCAGGCTGCCTTGGCTAATGACTTTCTGCAGGATCATGCCCTGCTGAGGGGATGGCCAGCCTTAGTCCCTGTCCGTCCACAGCCCGACTGCGAAGCACTCCATATGATTCCACGTGCCGTCGACCCTCTCCGGGCCAATGTGATCCTGCGTGGTGATGATGAACGACTCTGGGCTGTTTCTTTCCCCTCCCACCTCACGGGCGATGATGTCCACCATCTGACCTTGGAGGGTAGCCGCATCAGCCTTCGCACACCTCAGGGAGCGGGCTCAACTACGGCAACTGCTGCCATGAATCTGCGCGTTGGCGACTGCATTCGGTTTGCATATGCTGGGCCTCCCCAGCCCGAGCCCGCCCCCGATGGCTCGCACACCAGTAGGAGCACAGGGAGGATGCCACTCCTATGGCTCACTCTCTTTTCGCCTTTTCTCGGCAGAATTCGATGGGTCCTGCTTTGCGGGTTGTGCACCGGGGCTTATGCAATGTTCGAGCCGCGCTCTACAGGTCCCGTCTTTGTTCCCTTTCCTGACTATGTCAGGCAAGGGTTGCACACGAACCTGGTGCGGGTCGGTCGTTTCCCTTGGCGTGCGCACTTTGATGAGGCGAACTTGCTCATGCTTGTCGAGGGACGGCAATGCCAGGTTGCCTGCCTTAGCCCCTTCTGGGGTGCGGGCAAAGCAGTCACTGTGGATGCTGAGGCTTCTTGCACCCATTCCTTCAGTCGGGCGGACAAAGACAGGATCCTTTGGGCAGACGGCTATGCTCCAGTTTGGCCAGCTCCAGTTGCGGTTGAGCTCACTGTTGTCCCGACCCCTCCGGATCCTACTACTGTCTGTATCGTTGCGAGAGTCTGGCACGCCACTGTTGCGCTGCTGACACCGCGAGTCGTGGCGGTAGAATGGCTGCTGCGTACGCTGAGACATGTCTTTGGCAGACACGCACTCTTGCCTTGCCGCCGCAAATCCGCAGACAAGCAACTGCCGGCACCTCATACCTCCAGCTGCGATCTGGGGATTATATCTTAGCCATCCCTGAAATCGTGACGGGACCGGGCACTACAGCTACCGACGACGAATCCTTCCTCCGACACGCTGTGCCATGGAGCTTGCCATTTCGAATCCTCGCCCCAGTTCGGGTACGGCTTTGGAGGCCAGGGGACAAGATCCCACAACAAGTGTCGGTTGAGGCCGGTAGCACCTGGGATCCTGACCTGCTCACTTTCTCCAGCTTTCCCTTAAGCCATCTAGCTGGGTCTTGGATACCAGTGCCGTGGGTCAACGATGAGGTGCCCAATCTTGTCTGCGCCTCTGCTCACCGGGACACAGCAATTGTGCTCCATGAGAGCGAGAGGGGCTGCTCTTGTGTCTGCCTTGACAACCCGTGCACAGAGGAAAGCCTTGCCACAGCCCTGTCGGCTGCACCCTCCACTCTTAGGATCGTGGGAGGCGTGTTACGCGCCAGCCGACCCTTCACCCTCCGCGACGGGGACATTGTTCTCAGCGCCTCACATACTCCGCGAACCTCCGAGGAGAACATTGCGGACGCCCACCCCGCAAGCAGCGCATCAGGCGTGTCGCACAGCCAGGCCCTGTCCAGAGCCTTCCTTGTTGTTATCCTCTCCGTGTTGTCGGACAAACCGCTTATACGGATGGGAGGTTTGCTAAGCGTCTTGTGCGCCAGCCAAGCCATGGATACGGTCGCTGACGACACGTGCGGTCAGCCGGCCTCCAGCTCGAGAGATCGCTCCAGATCCCCAGTGAGCGCACAGCTGCGGGATCTACCTGTTCATGAAGCAGGCAGAGTGCACGCTATCCCTCTGATTGCACAGTTGGCTGGCCCCAGCCCTGACAGTTGTCCTATTCAGGTTTGGTGTCCCTTTGCAGGCGTTACCGCAGCGGTCTTGGTGAGGATCGAAGCATTCTGGCAGCAGATTGAAGCTATTGCCTTGCAGCATTCCCCAACCGGTGCTCAGGGGGTTGCAGTCTGTAACCCACCCTTGAGTAGAGGATCGTTGCAGCTTGTTGTCAGGGGCCCTGCTGAGTATGTTACTGTCATTGTCGACGGTCTGGGCACCACTTTTGCTGTGCTTCTGCCCACTGTCATCACCCTTGACGCACTCAAGACTGCCATGACGGTTCGGGTTGGTGTGCCGGTCCGTATCGATGTTCCGCTCCCGTGTTTGATTCTCGGCGCCATCGACTCCAACTTGTACCTTCGTAACGGGGACCGACTCTCCATTGCCTTGGCTTCCACTCACCCACTTCGTCAGTCGGCGGCCTGGCCATGGTTCCGGGACTGGCAAGAAGCGGGGCAGGAGGCGGTTTGGCACAACACCTTTCCCGGCAGGTAGTCATTGGGACCCTAGAGGGATGACTATTCGAAGCCCAGGCGGCCGGGCCCTCAACGGACGTTGGGTGCCCATGCCAGTTCGTCCGAGCCGCAAGCCGTGGTTGCTGCGTCGCTCTGCCGACAAGCTGCGCCGAACTGTGCTTCTCTCCGGTGACACCCCTGTCTGCCGGCACCTGGCGCTTATGTGGTTTCTGCTGGAGTCAACGATAAGCTACCCGACCTCCCCGACCCCGAGCTCCGCGACGGGGACTGGCTGGCTGTTGATGAGGAAGCAGCCAGTGATGCACCCCGTAGCGTTGACCCACACCTCGGTGTTCTAGTGGTTAGCCTGGGTCTCAGATTCCTATTACATCCCCCCGGAAGGAAAAAGTCGGGTATCAGTTTCGCCCGCATTGCGCTGGTTGGAGTGGTAGGACTTATCGGCCTGCATGTCCTGCGAGAGTCACCCAGCCCCTCTTTGCCTCGGCTCTGCTCTGCAACTGACGGCCCTCCCACCACATGGGCTTCGGACGGCACGGGTGTGTACAGCTACCCCCATTGGCACGGCCATCCTGATCAATGTGAGAGACCTCAGTGGCCGTCTGCAGGATACCCGGGCAAGGGGCAACCAGTCGAATGCCAACACAATGTCAGACTTGCTCCTTGTGCACCAGGTGGTGCTCACAGGCCCATTAACCCCGAAGGTGAGGGCGGCAACATCTCCCTTGCTCGGGAAGCATGCTACTTGCTGGCATGGGGTGCGCCCAACTACCCAGACCTTGCAGTTAGTACTGATGCCTGTGGTGCTGGGTATTGCGATCTCACACACGCTGCCGCCCTGTTGGCCGACATCCTGCAAGTCTGGGGGGTACCTCTCCACACTGAGCTGCCGCGAGGCTCCCGCCTTGGGAAAACCTGGCAGCGCTTTCCTGTATGGCCTGGAGGTGTCCCAGACGCCTTGCTTGTGTCTACGGACGGCTCCGGGGAAAGCCACGGCGGGTGGGCCTTCGCTGTATGGGCTAGGCGCAAGCTCACTTGGTACCGGCTCGGCTGTGCTACTGGACCTCTCGATTTGGTACCCACTCCCGAGCTCCTTCAGCCATACGCAAACCTCGTTCCATGCCGAGATGGCCGCATTGCACGCTGCTGCGGCCTGGCTAAGTGCCTATTGTGGTCTACATGAGATATGGTGCAAGGCCTCGCCCCGGCTCATCACTGTGGCGGTCAATAACACTTCGGCGCTACAGATTGCTTCCGGGCTATCGGCAGCCCATACCTGCGCAGCTCAGTCCCTCCGCTGCTTGTGGCAGCTAGTCCAGTCACAGCAGGCTGTGCACTTTTGCCACACCCCTAGTCATGTTGGGGTGTTGGTGAATGAGGTTGCAGATTCCTTGGCTTCCCTAGGCGCATCCGGCCTGGAATGGCATCATCTCCCGCTTTGTACGGCCGCCGGCCTCCTTCCCCGACTGAAACAATTTGGGCCGTGGCTATGGGCTATACGCCGCTGTCGCATTGAAGGCGGTTTGCCGCGGTTATATGTTTGCCGGCCTAGGGTTGAGCCAGAGCCGGCCTCTGAGACCTGTCCTCAGCTTTCCCCTGAGCTGCACGCCCAACCTTCGTCCCATGGGCAAGCGACTGCTGGAGCTGCACGGGACTGTGCAAGGGTTAAAGTCGTCTCGGCCAACATCCAAACTATCAAGGATGATCGCAAGTTCTTTTTCTCCGCTGCGGCGGGCGGCCAGCGCCGGGCCTTCTTGGGGAAGCAAGCCCAAGCCCTCTCCCTCGATGTGCTTTGTCTACAAGAGTGTCGGAGCAATGCCGGAAGGTATGTTGCTGGACCCTATCTTACCTGGCGCAGTGGGCATGAGAAGGGCCAATACGGAGTCGAAATTTGGGTCCACCAAAGTGCCTTTGGCGGCGATCTGCAGCTCCAAGATTGGCGCATTGTAACTTCCTCACCCAGGTATTTGGCGATCCGCTGCCAACGGCCTGACTTTCCGATTGTCATCATCTCTGCTCATGCACCTCACGCAGACAGGCCTCAGCAGGAAATCGTGGATTTCTGGTCCGCCTTGAGGCGTGAGATTCATGCTTTGCCCCTCTCCACTCCCCTCCTTATCGGAGTTGATGCAAATGCAGATTTCACCGCGGCAGACGGTGAGGGTCAGCTCATCGGGGATCTCGTTGACGGGCGCCCCCCACGGGAGGGTGATCTGCAACTTCTCTCCTTCGCACAAGACCATTTCCTTGAGGCACCCGCCACTTGGAGCCGCTTGCATCAAGGGCAAACTTGGACATGGCAGCACTCCTCCGGCAAATGCCGGCGACACGATCATATTTTGGTCTCTGCAGGTGTCATCCTGGCGACATCCTCGCAGTGCTTTCCGGAATTTGATATCATCAACAGCACTCTTGATCACGTTCCGATCTCCTGCGACCTACAAATCTGCGCAGAAACGACGGCAACTGCCCAGGACCGAAGGCGGCGACCTATCCCTCCTGACTCTGTTGCTACTGCCATCGCCAGTCGTGTGTGGGAGAACTTCTCCTACCCCGGGGATCCTGAGAGCGCTACCTCAGCTCTTTCAAAGAGGTTCCACCGGCTTGCCAAGGCCGAGCAGCGCCCTGACAGAGTAGTGCCACGGCAGCCGTACATCTCTGATGAAGCCATCACGGTCCTCACTGCCCTCAAGGAGCGACGCCGGCAGCTCCGATCACACGCGCGAGTGTGTAGTCGTAATCTGATGCACTTGGCCTTTCGGATCTGGAGCACGCCAGACCGCCCTCGGGGCCATGTTCGGCAGTGTGTGCGAAATGGGCACCGCGCCTACGCACGTACCTGGCTAGCTGTTCTCAGGATGAAGGAACACGCGCACTGGCTCGCCAGACGTGACAAGGCTGCACACTTCCAGCAGCTCACACAGAGTGCCACCGACTTCTGGCTTGACACCGGGCGAGCCATGGAAGCTACTCACCGGCTCCGCTGGGCCTCTAAGCGCGCGGCCGAGCGACGCAAGGTCTTTGCTGCAGGAGGCCATGACATTGATGCCGACTTGCTCCGACAGTTCCAACAACAGGAAGATGGCCAACGCCTCACTGCTCAGGAACTGCAAGCTGAGCTCCGCAAAGCTTCTGAAAGCTCCTGTAGGCCGTGTGCTGGGGCCTTGCCGTCACTCCTCGATGTCGAGCATCAATGCCGGCGACAAAAACTTCGTAAAGCGCCCGGGCCAGACCGAATCAGTAACGGTCTGTGGAAAGGTCAGCCGGTCGCGGCGGCCCAATGGCTGTGGATGCTATGCGCTGATATCGCCGGGCGAGGGAAGGAGCCCCCTCAGTTCAAGGCTGCTCTGGTGTGCGCTTTGCACAAAAAAGGCCCAGCCAGTGTCCCCAGCAATTACAGATCCATCGCGTTACTTAATGGTATCGCGAAGATCTGGCACGGGCATGTCCGCAACTCCCTGGGACAGCAAGTTCTCTGCTCTTACCATCCGCTCCAGCTGGGAGGCCGTCGTGGAGTGCACACCGGTTTTGCTGTGGCATCCTTTCGATCGCTGGTTGCCCTGAGTGACTTCGCGGGTCGCTCGTGGTTTGCCTTGTTCCTGGATGTGCAAGCTGCCTATTATGAGGCGGACAGACAGCTCCTGTTTGGCCAGGACCATGGAAGGGCAAGGCAGCGAGAGGCCTCCCGCCTCGTTTCTAGCCTCCTCGCAGATGGAGTCCTCCGTCACCGAGGTATTGCCGAGGATGTGTGTGCCCTCCTTGAGGACTGCGTGCGTTGCTCCCACTGGTCGCTCTGCGGTCATGATGCCATCATCCTAGCTGGCAGGGGTAGCCGGCCTGGCGATGGTCTAGCGGATGTGCTCTTCGGGGCAATTTTCGCACAAATCCTTGATGATGTTGAGGCACAGCTGGTGTCCCTGCAGATTGGGCACCGCTCAGCCTCTGAGGCCGTAGGTGGCCCGTGCAGACCGCTTCAGATCGCCTGGGCTGATGACCTCTCGGTCCTGGTTGACGCCGACTCGGCAACCCAACTTGCTGACGAGGTCCCTGTCGTTACGCGGGTTGTAGTTGAGACGGCTGAGATGTACCGCCTGCGGGTGAACCTCGGACCGGGCAAGACCGAAGGCCTCCTGCATCTCCGGGGCCCAGGCGCTTCCGCCGCCCGTGCTGCTCTTTTCCTGCCATCTCCACAGGTTCCCTTCGCACCTGGCCGTACTCTGCGTCTTGTTGCTGAATACAAGTACTTGGGGGTGCCACAGACAGCACCCGACAACGGCCGCCGGGATGCCGAAGCCTCTGTGCAGCGCGGCCAGGCCGCCTGGAGTCAAGCGAATGGGCTCATGCGCTCCCCGTCCCTTCCAGTTGAGGTCAAGGTCGCTTGGTTTACGGGCAGGGTTCTGCCTGCAGCATACTCCAGCCTCGCTACTGCCCTTGTAGACTCGGGTCGGGTCTGGACCATCCACCAGGGGTTCTTTGACAGATGCCAGCGATCCCTGGTTGCCTCCTGGTCTGTCTCCCACCGGACCACCTGACGCGCGAGGCGCTCGACGTCTTGGTGCCGGCCGCCACGCCGCAAGTCGCCACCATCCTGTGTCGGGCGCGACTTGCAGTTCAAATTGCCACCACTGCCCCTGCTGCTGTCCTCGATCTTGTTGAAGCCTCGTGTGAGCGCGACTTGCCGTGGACGTCCCTGCTCAAGGACGCAGTGTACACAGTTGGTGTCTTCGCCGGGCTGTCTCCTGATCAGTTACGGGATAGCCCGATGCGTATTGCCCGCGCTCACGACAGACTCCTGAGAGGCGCCTGCCGACGGTTCGGCAGATTCGCCTCAGGGCTGCTTGCCTTCCACAGGCTCTGGCGCAGCCGCGCCACCCGCGCTCAAACTGGCACTATCGGACAGTCTAATCCGGTGCAGTGCCCAATGTGCGGATGGATTGGACGTACTGCCCAGGCACTTGCGGCACACCGGCATCGCAAACACGGCACCCTGGCTAGGGCCACTGAACTCTGCAATGGTACTACCTGCAGCTGGTGTCTTCGAGACTTCCATTCTTCTGATCGTCTAAAGTACCACATCGTTACCTCGGCCGGATGTCGCCTTCCCCTTGAGATCTCTGTCGGGGCGCACCACCAATACGGGTCGGGTACGAAAAGGCGCGGCCCGCAGCAACATCGCCGGTTGCCCCCGATTCAGCTGTGCGGTCCTCGTAATGCCACCCCGGCTGAGCGGCTCGCCTGGGATACTGATCAGCCGTGGGATGCAGCAGGCCTTCTTGTCGAGTGGGAAGAGGCCCAGGCCTCCCTCGAGGCCGAGGAACCCCCACACACTGTGGCAGCTGCATCAGGAGCGACCACTGCTCCCTGTCTGCCTGCCTCTGCCTCTGCTCTTGCGATTGCCCAGCTGGCTGGCAGAAGCTTCTTCTTTCAAGACCAAGGCCTCGCGCCATCTCCCCTCTGGTCTGGGCTGCAGCGCGAAGCTGCAGGCTGGTGGCTTCCACACATTTGGCAAAACATCGCACGGTTCTGGCAGGCCATGGCCGATTCTACTGCCCTCTCGCCCCCAATCCTGACTGGTTACCGGGCAGCCATCCGCTCTCTTGCGGATGTCCATGACGTCCCGGCCCACTGTCCGGTATCCGGGGGAATCTCCGCTACTGGCCCTGAGCTTCTTCTTCGGCATACACTCACTCTTCTGCACCTCGCTCGGCTTGTGCCGTTGGGTCATGCCTTGTGCTCTGCTGTTCCACCCAGCAGTTGTCTTCGTGCGGCTTTGGGTTGCATTTGCCCGGATGCTGCCTGGTTTCTCACTGTCTTGCAGGATCAGCCTGTTTGGATTTTCGCTTCCCTCGGTTCTTCCCTGTCGCGGCTTGCCTTTCTTTTTCGGCATCCGCCCTCTCCTCTCGCTTTCGCGGCTCCCCACCAGCTGTCTTCTTCCTGAGCTGCTTGTTTTGGGCTCTTCCCGTCTGGTCGGGTAGCCTTCCTGCGTGGTTGCTGTGCACGCCTCGGTGGTGCACCCTCCTCGCTGGTTTTGTCCGTTTTCCGTTCTTTTGAATTGGCTGCAGGCTTTGCCTGTTTTTGGCCTGCACGCGACCGCCCCGGACTTCCGAATGCGTGAGAGAGAGAGAGTTTAAGGGGGAGTTTGGGCTTCGGGGTGTGGGGCTTGGGGATGGTTTAGGGCGAATCCGGGGGTGATAGGGTCGGGTTTATAGGGTTGCAGGCTTTGAATTTGGAGTATGAAGTTCAGGACGTTGGGTCCAGGACTTCAGCTTGACCAGCCATGGTCGTGCGACCTTCCTGTTTACTGTCCTGCTTCGTGTTCTGGGCTCGGGTTGTTGGTGCAATTCTTGTCCCAACTGATTGATCCTGCTGAAAAGCTTTTCGGCTAGACCAGGCAAAAACATCTATCCATGACTCTTCTATCACAGCTGATCTTACCAGTGTGGGGAACACTGCACATGGTATGGTGTGTATGAGGCTTGTTTCTCGTGTTCGTCTTGGTTACTTCTGTCGGAATTCTCAAGTTTCTAGAGTTCCAACTCACTCCACATGCGTTGAACGGCTGCTGTCCACTATGTCGTGCTGCCGTTGCTGTTATGTTTGCTCCGTGACGTAACTAGTATTACGCCCATGGTGTGTTCCGCTGTTCTTTGTAAACAAGTTAACTGTTCTGAGCGCCATTGCATATGCTCGAGGGGAAGTCAGCCAGCTTGAAGGCATGGCAAAGTGACGTGGAGGCACTTGCCATCTCCATCGTGCATGAACATAATACAAAGCACTAGACTTTCTCTAAGGGTGCTGAAAAAGCCCATTCCGAGCAGACAATGCGCTTAGAGTTCTGGAATTCGGGCGCGATACCCACCCCGAAGCCAAACAAAAAGCCTGAAAAGCTGCAAAGCAGAACACATCTCCAGCCTCACGATCCCCCAAACCCTAGGCCCTAAGCCTGAACCTCCAGCTGGGACTCCGATTCCCAGAGAAACCTGAGGTCAGAGGCAGTGCGCTGGCCTGTCCTTCTTGTCCTCCAACATCTCCACCTCCGAAGCAAGACAGAGGCACGGAGGCAACAATGAAGCACAACGTCGGCCAAAGGATCGCCGCTCATGCAGCACGGATGACAATACTAGCACCCAAAGCAAGCATCATCATCAGGATCACCTCCACCAAGCAATCATGTCAAGGTTCTCTTTGGCATGATAAGTCGAAACTTTTTGTTGAGCTGGTTGTTTGCGAAGGCATTTTGCATGCTGGTCGAAAGAGGGGCTAGCCGACCCACCATGCCCGACAGTGGGTGGGGCCGTTGGACTATAGCCCTGCTGCATTTTATGATACTTCTCATGATACACTCTGTACTAGTTGTTTGGTGAGAAGCAGACCCTCAAGAACCACAAGTAGTCAACACTGTGTTGTTCCTCTGATTGCTGCTGTCTTTCATATCATCAACCGTCATTGCCTCTCTTGCCTGAGCATGGGGGTTTCCGGTGCTACTGCATTGTTAAACGCATCCGGCGATTCCGATAGTTTCAAACTGCAATTTTGTACTGCTGGTCGCATGGTTCCTACGAGCAGCTTTGGGGACCGGCAGATGTACCGAACGACAACGATTGGTCAGAAAACGTGAGAGAGCCGCAAAGTCTAGGTACAGTAGGGCTTCGGATAGTGGGCATGGCTCATGAAGACACGGCAACTTCTGTGTGCTGAATGCTAAAACCCTCTACTGCTGACATTTTAGGTGTTCACGGTCCAGCGTCTTGACTGATAATTAGTTGTTGGGATGTATGAAAGCTGAAACCGGATTGCTTTCGTCCTACCTATAGTCTCCATTGTAATTCTTTTTTGGATAACCAGTTGTATGGCTAGGATCCCATAATATAGTTTTTGGTTCAACAAAAAAAGGAACCACAATGGAGACTAAAGGTAGTGTCAGGCTTTCCATGTCAGGTTGCCAGATCGGCTTTCGGAGGTTCTGCGCCTGCGTCCCACGCACCGTCAACCTGGCAATCGACGGGTGTGGACTTTCGCGAGTACCTTATTCTGGGGTCCTTATGATAAGGATCCTACTAATTCAGGGTACTATATTAGGGTCCCTTTTTTCGGAAACTCTCATCTGAATCCCAGTACAGTTTTCGAGTTCTGGGCCTTTGCTCCTTTCGGCTGTAATACCTGGCTCAGAATTCTAGACGTCGCAACACAGTCGAAGAAGGCGGTGTGCGGCTGCAGCATGGTACGCGTTGCAGGTCTGAATCTTTGCCCTACCTCTAAGGCCCCATAGAAGTTCCATCCTTTAAGGTAATCCCAAAAAGGAACTACTCTGGGGCCTTAGGGTACTAGGGTGTGATCAGCCCCTTCTCTTGCCGCTAGGCGCCAAGGAAGACTTCCAACAGAACGCGCAACCCCACAGACCATTGCGAAGTCCTCCATCTCTGGCACAAGCCGGGCGCTGGCAAGGAAAGTCATTTAAGGAAGGGAAAGTGCAAACCAGGCCCACTTGCGAGTACTACTGACTCAGAGTGTGTATATTACTAGGCCCTCCTAAAATGGCACTTGATTAATGAAGCTCCGGCAACCGCACCTCGACGTCTCCGCGGTGCGGGGCGCGACGCGGGGTGCGCTGCTAGGGACGAAGGTGGTGAGGCCTGAAGATCTTAAGGTTTTTTTAAAGTGCAATGGATCTTAAGGTTTGGGGTTTAGTCTTTCGGGCTCTGGTTCTTCAGCCTAGTCCGAAGTTACATAAGCAAGCCAACTTTAGTCATTGTCAATAGCAGCTGCTACGTGCGGCCGCGTTGAAGGATGTTGAAGGCATATATACGTACGCATAGGTACGCAGAACCCTATATACCACTACCACCAGTGGCCTTTCAAGAAGGGGCTGAGGGACTTTGAGGCCTTGCGAGGTCTGCACAACTAGAACAGACTACAGCGCAAACTGTAGGTAACAAACTGAATCTAAAAAGAGAACCCAATTGAGTTCACGCATTGGGGCTACAACACCTGTGGAAGTAGCACGAACAAAGAACGAACTGCGCTACAACGCATGTGGAAGTAGCAGAAATAAAGGTATAGTAGTGTGCTCGGGTGCCGCCAGCTGCTCTCGCAGCAGCAAAGAAGCAACTAAGAAGCACTAGGAGGACACAGACTGCGTCTCAGCAGGATGATCGCCCAAGCAGAGCCTCTCGACCTCGAGGCCCTCCCTTGTCAACCCGAGCACGCCACGGCAGGCCCACGCCAGGGACTGTCTATCAGCCCCCTTGACACCACCGCAGCGCCCCGGGCGACCACCCCGGGAGGCCAAAGGAAGCAGAAGGCAAGGCAATTGAGCAGCAGTAGCAGTAGCAGTAGCAGTAGCAGTAGCAGTAGCAGCAGCCGTCCGTAGCACTACAAGTGCTCGCGCTAGCACCAGCAATATTCCTGATCTAGTAGTAGCGCACTTGTATGAAGTTCTTTTCAGCGACAGTGCTGCGTGTTTCAGCTGCTGCGGCCAGCACTCAGCGGGTGGTGACGATCAACTGAACAAACTCGGACTCTCCCCTTGAGAATTGCTGAGGTGGTGACCCAGATAAAGAGCGGATGCAACCAGCAAGTACCTCTTGTGCGACGCGGCTAGATATTTTCTCTCTGTTCAACCCTCATCTCACATCACTTTACGTCTCCTCTTGAGCTAACTTAAGGAATATACCTGAAATAATAGGGGCCTTAATAATATTATGGTTTAAATGAAGCTACAACGGCGAAACCGCAGGCCCTCTTGGACGGCGCACGCAACGGGTCTTCGGCGCTTCAGCATAGTCTGGACCTTCGCGGCTGATGCGAATCGAAACTGAAACCTGAAAACCAAGCAGTCTCAATGAGCACCTCCTGGGTTTAGCGGTCTTAAAGCGTCTTAGAGGGCCGTAGAAGGCCCAAGAGCTCTCTCTGTGTGTCCCTCTGAGGGCCCGGACCATGGTCACCAAAATCTACGAAGCCCCAGGGCTTCTCAAAGCTAGGAAAGGCCAAAGGGTACACCTGGAAGGATGGGAGCTGCTGGGCAGTGGTGGTGTGTGAGACTGTCATATACCGTTCCTCAGCCATTTTTTTCGGGCCGAAAACTGGGGAAGCGGAGGGCGCACGCTCATGCCGAAGCAACTGCATCATCACGAGATTGCATTACCATAGTATGCTAAGGCAATGCTAAGGGATGCAGAAGATGTCTGTTGCAGTATGCACCAGTTAGCCCGACGCCCCACACAGATGCTATAACAACCTCGAAGCATGATGCCGTAAAACTACGCTGCCATGCACATATCACAAAAGATCACGAAGACTACCCCGTCCTGCATGAACCCGACACCCGGATCTTCTTTTGCCGTGGCGAGATCACGTCGCCGGCTCGAGCACGAAGTGTTCAGCCTTCCCGTGGGGAGGGAGGATTGCATGTAGTGCTAAATACCGGGGGGCCTGCATAACTTCGTGCGGGTTTCGAGTGGCCTCTACAATACTCATCAATATCAAAGGATCAAACTTAAAGGAGTGATTCTACAAACTGCCTAAGCTCCGACACTGCGGAGCGCTCACCTTCGGCCCCCTTCCCCTACTCCTCAAAACCCGCAACCAAATACCCTGAACTCCTCAACTGCACACTCGACCTGACCTTCAACACTAACCTCACCCGAAACCCTAAGCCCTAAACCCTAACCTCCAATTTCCCTGCCCCAAAACCCTAAACCCCAAACCCTAAACCCCAAACCCCAAACCCTAAACCCTGAACCCCCAAACCCCAAACCCTAAACCCTGAACCCCTAAACCCTAAACCCCAAACCCCAAACCCTAAACCCTGAACCCCTAAACCCTAAACCCCAAACCCCAAACCCTAAACCCTGAACCCCTAAACCCTAAACCCTCAACCCCTAGACTCCTGAACCCTCAACTCTGAAGACCGAGGGCTCCCTTAGGCCCCCGGGCCCAAGGGCTGCCCCAGCGTGCAGCGCCCAGTTTCAGGCCCCAGCCTTAGGGTTCATCGGACTTCTGAAGAGAAGTTTGGGTTTAGGGTTCAGGGTTTGAGGGTTAAGGGTTTAGGGCAGGGGTTCAGGGGTTTAGGGTTTAGGGGTTTGAGGGTTTAGGGTTTAGGAGTTTGAGGGTTTAGAGTTTGTCATTCAGAGGTTTGAGGGTGTGGGGTTTAGAGGTTTGAGTTTGGGGTCTACCAGCACCCCCCAAATGCCCTCTATCATACCCCACATACCCACGATCAAGGACCTTAATGGCTCTATTAAAGGGTAGTTGGGGGGTGCTGGTAGGGCTTGGGGATTAGGGGTTTTAGGGTTTGAGGATTCAGGGTTTGGGGATTTGAGGGTTTAGAGTTTAGGATTCAAGGGTTTGAGGGTTTAGGGGTTTGTGGTTTTAGGGTTTGGGGTTTTTAAGGGTTGAAAGGAGCTTTATACGTTCTGTACGAGGTTTTTCACAGTGTTACGGCGTTTCCACAAAGGGTTGATAGCTGTGTTTAAAGAATTGTATTCGGGTGTTGGGCGTTTGGGATTTTGGGGCTTCAGGCAATGGGGAGCTGGGGTCGTTTTACCGGATTTCAGGCTGCAGGATTGAGGATCCAAGGGTAAAAGGAGGGGCCCTTAATAAGGACCCCCAGGTTTTTACCCTTAATATAGCTATTATATACACATTACATAGCCCATTATAGGGTAGGGGTCCCCATTAAGGGTCCCTCCTTTTCCCCTTTGAGAGGAGTTCTCTGGTTTGAAGTTTTGCAGGGTGCGGCTTTGGGAGCATAAGTCTCCATGGATAGAGTTCTGGATTCAAGGGCTAGCTGATAACTATGCAAGTGTTAAGGAAAAGCACCGACACCCCGTGAACCGAACCGCCAAAGAAGCACGGCTTTTGCAGCATAAAATCTGAAAAAATCATAAGAAGAATCCCTCACACATATGGTTTGATTTTTCAGGCTTCAGGGAATCTCTAAACCAACCCTTGAAGCCCCTAATTGGCCCTAAACCCCGAAACCCGAAACCAGGTCCCTGGCTCATGGCCATCCCAAAGAGCCGCCGCGCATGGTCGGAGCCCGTGTCAGGCGCCTCTTCGGGGAGACACTGCGATGCGGACTTTGGGGTTTGAGGGTTGAGGGTTTAGTGTTTGAGGGTTTTGGGTATAGGGGTTGAAGCTTAGAGAAAGTGTTACTAAAAAGAAGCTACGTTTAATAAGGTGTGTTTAAAGTAAGGATCTTGGGCCTAGGCTTTTGAAGTGGGCTTTAGGATTTCAGGGATACGGACAGTTCCTATCAGGTGACAACGGTACATTAATTGAAGGGATCCACACAGGCTCCGTGAGGGTTTGGGGCTGAGGGCTGTGGGGCGAAGATTTCAGGGCTTAGGTGCTCGGGTTGAAGTAGGGTTATCGCACTGCTGCTGGTGCTACTGCTACTAGTGCTACTAGTGCTACTAGCGCTACTAGTGCTACTACTACTACTACTACTACTACTACTACTACTACTACTACTACTACTACTACTACTACTACTACTACTACTTGTACTTCTACTTCTACGTCTACTTCTACTTCTACTTCTACTTCTTCTACTTCTTCTTCTACTTCTACTTCTACTTCTACTTCTACTTCTACTGCTACTTCTACTTCTACTTCTACTTCTTCTACTGCTAGTTCTTCTACTTCTACTTCTACTACTTCTACTGCTAGTACTCCTACTCCTGCTCCTACGTACTCCTGCTGCTACTGCGACTGCAACTGCGACTGCTACTGCTACGTGCTACTATTCCTACTACGACGCCGACGACCACCACAACTGTCGCGGCACGAGATCAGCAGCACCACCATCATCAGCAGTGTCCTCCTGGTACTCTCCTGGTCCTCTGCTTAATTGCTGTATCCGTTCCATCATCCCATCAAGAGCAACATCCTGGTCACCATCAATCCCTTGATCCTCTCATTCTTGCCAGAATCGCGTCTTTTTTATTGGGACATTCAAGCATATTAGCCCGAAGTCGTGCGCACGCGGCATTCGCCACGTTGCTGGAAGCTCCCGAAAGAACGGCTGCTTGGGCTTCCGGTTTTTCGTACAACCCCCCCAAATAGTATAGGTTAGTATCTAGGCCCCTATACTAAACCCTTATAATAGCCGTGATGGTAATCCTGATAGACCTCTTTAAAAGCCAAACAAAAACCCGACTCCCCTACTCGGCCGACTATCACGAGATTAGCGGTAGTGCCAGCGATTGGAACTCGGATGATGCTGTTCTTGTGCAGTACTGTTGGCCTTATTTGTCTGGTAAGTAAGTGCCCTACAGCAATCATACGAGCATGGTGGAGATGCTGGGAGGCTGGGACATTGCCAGGGTGGCCAAAGACCATAGAGGGGATATCGTGTTGCCATTCAGCAGCTGTTGCGCGACGCTTGAATGTATATGCCGCTGTTCTCAGTTACAAGTACCGGTTTGAACAGGTGTAAAGAAATGGTCACCATGATCGTCGTCATCATCACCAGCACCATCACCATCCACTTGACATCATCACCAGCACGAGCCGGCCTGGATGGCATTACCGGTATTGACGGCCACCAATATGCTACTATGACAAGCGCACACACCGTATGTCGAGTTGCTCACTTATGTATGCATACATGCAGACATACAGGCACACACACACACGCGCGCGCGCGTACATACATTCGTAGATACATACATACATTTGAATGCCCATACATTTCATGCATGCATTCACATACATGCATACATACATACATAGATACACGCATAGATGCATACAAGCATGCATAGATACATGATGCATGCATACAATCCATATACGTACATACGTACATTTGCAGCATGGCCGTGGCTTTAGCTTGTATTTCGGCAATTAATAAGTTCTGGGTACTCCACGGTTTAGAGTTTAGGGTTTAGGGTTTAGGGTTTGGGGTTTAGGGTTTAGGGTTCTTGAATGCGCGGCCCCTGACGGCGCATCCATGCAGCGCATCAGGCAGTAGCTATGCCAGCACCATCCACGCACAAAGTTGCTACGGCTCTTGAAAAATCATGGCTGACCCCATCCGTGCCCAAGCAGGAACTCACGGAAAGCTTTATGTACATCCTTCGTTTCCGGCGCAAGGTCCACGTTGGGTCCCTTGTCCGACTTCGCCTATGCGCATTCTACGACATGGCAGGTTTCGACGATCCAGGCATCTATCTTTTCGGCACATGTCCATCCGTGCGTCTTCACTGTGAACGCTGCACAAATAGACACACTGCACACAGAAGTTCCCGAGGCCAAAGCGCCAGAGCCCCAATGAAGGCTTCGGGGCTTCGGGGCGTATAAATGTGGTAACTCAGGAACAGTAAAGACTGCTGTTCAGATTTACTTGGGAGATCGTAGCAACAATGGCTCCAGATACCTACTATGAAGTCCCAAACTTGGCTGGGCCTATCTTCTCTCCCTCAATACAAAGCCCTACCCTACCGCCTTGACCCTAAAACCGAAAGCCCTAAACCCTAAACCGTAAACCCTAAACCCTAAGACCCGAAGCCGCCCGGAAGTCCTGACCAGGTCGTATCCAGAGCTTTGCAATCCAGGACTCCGAATCGCAAGATAATTTACGAGGGTGGCTTAGGGTGTTGAATTCGTTCCTGCGCAAGGGCGTTAAAGTCACAAAGATCTCTGTAGCTTTCAACGATTCAGGCAATCCAGAATTTTGTCGTAGGAATTCGAGATTTAGGGTTGTCGGAAAATCTGGGACCTCGTTGAAAAGAGGTTCCTTTCCAAGTTTTTCCCAAAAAGCTAGCAAATCCTTTCAGAGCCTGTAAGGATCCCTAAACGAGGTGATGGACTTGTGCCGCGATGGAGGCAGCGCGCCTCCAGAGATTCGTTGTCGCTGGGTCGCGAGAAGAAGGCCCGAGGAGGAGAAGCAGTAGTGACTACTTGGAGGGTCGGGGGACTTATTAGGGAGTTATAAGTACCATAACCCCAATTAGGGTACCTTTTAGGGTACTTGTAAGTCTACTTACTAACTACTTACTCAGTCCCCCGACCCCCCCCAAGTAGTGATTTGGGTGCCTTAATAATTAGAATAGGTTTTTGGCTTAATAATTAGAACAAGAATTCGGGTTCTGGTGCCCATGATAGTAGTGATTACTGTACGGTGGCCTAAATAAATAATTACCTACAGGGTTCCTTTGAAGGGGTTTATAAGGGTTATTATAAAGGATCTATAAGGCTACTATAATATAAGGGCCTTAAGAATTACCTCTACTATTTTCCGGGGCTCCTTATTATAATTTTAGCACCCCAAAACCCTATTCTAATCATTAAGGCCCCTAGATTAGGTTGCCCAGTTTTGAGCACCAGGGTTCAGGGATTGTGGATTCCCGGCTTCGGGCTTATCTTCACTCCCCCTTCAAAGACCGTCTTTTCAGCGCCTCTCTAAGGAAATCATAGCAAGGCGCCCTACAAATGGGGGCCTGTTGATGAATATAGAGGCCTTAATAATTAGAATAGGTTTATGGGTCCCGTTGTACTATGATTATAGTTAATAAGGAACCCCAAAATAGTATAGGTTTTCCTATTGCTTATTGAGGCCCCTACAGTATCTTACTTCAGCACGCACAGCTGTCGGTGGAGTCGGCGTTGGGCATTGGCAGCCGGAGCGTCAGCCTGGCATGGAGGGTTGAGGGTTTAGCGATTGAGGGGTTTAGGGGTTTAGGGGTCTAGGGTCGTCTAGCGTTTAGGAGTTTAGGGGTTTAGGGTTTAGGGGTTTAGGGCTTTAAGAGTTTAGGCTTTAGGGGTTTAGGCTCTAGGGGTTTAGGAGTTTAGGGTTTAGGGCTTAGGGGTGTAGGGTTTAGGTGTTTAGGGGTTGAGGGTTTCGGGGTTTAGGGTCTAGGTTTGTGTGGGGTTTAGGGTGGGTTTCTGGTTCCAGGCTTTGAGGTTTAAGTTTACGGCGTACAGCCCTCAGGGGTGCAATTACATCAGACGCAACGTATGACGTGCATCCATATCCACTTCCTCTCGTTTGAAATAGTCCTCTATTCACACAGACAAACGCCAATGCTCAAATAAACTCTCCGATTCTGCAAAGTGTGGACCTCCGCATCAGTGATCTTTACAAATGCGTCCCTGGGGCCTCAATGATTAGAATAGGGTGTTGGGGCCCGTTATACTATTGTTACAATAAGGAACCCCCCACCCAAAATTTTCTAGGTGATTATTGAGGCCCCTGTATACATCCTTAAATATCCTATGGTGCCCTTATAGTATCCCTTTAAGGAACCCTTTGAAGGAACCCTTTTCTGTGTCTTAGGCCCCTATATTAGGCTGCAGCTCCAACCCGCCTTCTGGTGGAGCGGCGGAAGGGTTTGGTTGTCCTCTATAAGATCATGGGGTCCAGAGCTGAAGGTAGGGTTTTGGGAGTGCAAGGGTTTAGGCTTTTAGGGTTCAGGGTTTAGGGTTTATTTAGAGCAATGTAAATTACCCACAGGAGTTGCTTGTAAAGTTGGAAACTCATTGTCTTCAAGCCTTTCAAGCATATGATTCATGTACCTTTTCCAGCTTCCAACTTTTGAGGGTTTTGCCGTATGGTATATCACCAAAACGGTGAACCCTAAATCTCGGAAATCATAAACTCCAGAGCCCCAAACCTAAGTTTGAAGTATATGTTTAAACTTTGAACCCTAAAAAAACCTAAGTGTGGACTATATCACCTAAACTTTGAACCCGAAAACTTGGAAATCGTAACTCCAGAACCCCGAACCAAAGCTCGAAGCCGCACGATCCCAAAAGCTTCGAAAACCCTGACTTAGAAGCCCCAAACCCGAAGAGAAGCTTCAGCTTCGAGGATGGGCACGGAAGTCAGGATTTAGGGTTTAGGGGTTTAGGGGTTAGGGGTTTAGGGGTTTAGGGTTTAGGGTTCAGGGTTTAATGGTTTTTTTTGTTTTTAGGGGTTAGGGTTCAGGGTTCAGGGTTTAAGGGTTTAGGGGTTAGGGGTTAGGGTTCAGGGTTTAAGGGTTGAGGGTTCAGGGTTTAGTGTTTAGGGAAAGCAACCGGGATCGAGGGATCAGGCGGCCAAAACAGGACACAAGGCCTTTTGTGAAGGCTTTCCGCAGCTCTTATAGCAACCATGGTGGTAACCCTAAGGTTTGGGGTTTAGGGTTTAGAGGTACCTTTGTAGCACCCCTGATTGAAACCCCGACAGGAACTCTTATAGATAAAGGCCGTCCTGCGAGCAGCATCAGGATCTTGTCCATCTTCTGCTGCACGTTCCGCATCGATTCCTTCAGCAGCGAGAAAATACCCGAAACCCTAAACCGCCATGCTTCAACTCTCCCTGGGAGGCCGCGCGCCCACCTCTTCAACCTCCAACCGGTCAAATCCCAAGGAGAAACCCCAAAACCTGTAAAGCTCGGAACCTGAAACCCAAAGATCCAAAACCAGCAACCTACGCCCAAACCCAAAGACCCACTCCCAAACTCCAACCCTGGACCCCAAGACCCTAAATTGCCGCAGTGCTGTCAGTTTTGGACTGCAGGTCCTTCTGCTCTGCCAGACTCTCCTTCCGTCAGGCCACTGTGTTTGCTAGGGGCTTCAAGAATTCGAAGAGGGTTTTTGCTTTTTTGCTGCAATGGCTCGAACAGGGTTTGGGGTTTGGGGTTTACGGACTAGGGCTTCCAACAATTCGAAGAGGGGTTTAGGGTTTGCGCAGACAGGAGTCTGTGGCGAGCGAAGCGACACATGACTTGTGCATCTCAGGCACGTTCCGGTAGGGTTTGAGCGAAGCATTCAGCTCATCGTGCGTGTAAGATATAGAGATGTATCGATATATAGATACATACACAACTACATAATATTCTCACACATACAGACGTACGTACGTACCTACGTACAGACAGACAGACAGACAGACAGACATGCATGCATGAAGACGTACATACATACATATACATATACATACATGGACTAAACAGGGATACTCGTACTGCTTACTCTTGCCCCTAATCGTATAGCTTTTTCGGTTTAGCCCTACATGAGGGATAGACGTAAAGATCATAGATGCCAACTGCTGCCCGTCTCCACCTAAGACTAATTGGGGGCCACTTGAAGGTGTGCTGAGGGTTGTTATAAGGGCCACTAATTTTTCCGAAACTCTCGTATACGATCTGGGTTCAGGGTGATGTACTGCGAAATTAGAGGCTCCCGGCACTTGTCTAGCTTCGGCGATCTCACTGAAGTTTGAGTGCCAACGAGGAGGGATTGAAAAGGCATCGCCTCTCCTTCTTAAGCTCGAACATGCTGAGTCAGGGGCTACGCTCTAAAATCTGAGCTTTCAAAGCCGTAAGAATACGAAGCTCGCTGACACCACTCGAGCATGAAAGGAAGTGCTACGCGACGCTCCACTCACTCGTGGCCTTGTGAGCTTTGTCTTGCTTCTGCAAGACCTCCTCCAGCTTCTGCATTTTATCCTTCCCGAGTGTCCGTTAAGACGGGTTGAGGATTGCTGTTTGCGAAGCTCGCCTTCTTGACCAAATAGACTTAACTAACTATTTCAGTCTTTTATAGTATTCTTATACTAAGGAATCTCCACTAGAGTCTTATATTAAGGAATCTCCACTAGAGTCCTAGAGACCCAGAGATACCCTTGCAGTGCATCCTTCAGATCGGTCCGCATGCCGCGCAGCTCGTCAACACCCGACTCGGTCCGGACCACCGCATAGATGGTGCACTTTGGAGCCGGCTCATTCCTAGTTGTTCTTGGCGGGGATAGTATGAAAAAATTGAAAAACTCTAGCTTCTATGCCTTATGCGGTTGAAACACCCACCAAAAAAAGAGAATGTCACCCAACTCTGACCAAGATTCCCGAAAACCCTGAAAAGAGTGAGGTTCATGGCGTACTGCATGCCCTCGATGCGGAAGCCGAGGAGCCAGAAACTCCCCAAGCCGAGCGCGACGGGCAGAGCCACCAGCATTGACCTGACTTCCCAAGTAATAAATGGGAGTTTCCGAAAATAAGGGTTACCTTATGTAGGGGTCCTTATAATAACTATTTAAGGGTACTATATTCGGGTCCCCTATATTCGGAAACCCCCAAATACCTATGGGGGAAACGGTCAAACTTTCCAATAAGACTTCCTTGTAAGAGCCCCAAAAGTTGAAAAGTTTGGTTTTGGGCCACTAAGTGACACTGCGAGGAGGACCGGGAAGATCAGGAACAGCAAACACGTCAGTGTGCTGTACTGAAACACAATGCGGCGCACGGGGCCAAGGACGGCGTCCCAGTGGCGAGAGCCGATCACAGTAAACATGATTGGCAGGAAGCATAGGAGCACCGTCACGGCCATGCAAAAATGGCACGTGCCCATCTCGCTCCTGGGGAAGCTCTCTTCCTCCTGGGCCTCCTCCTCTCGGACCTCCTCCTCGGCTTCGTCCCGAGGCTCCGAAGTGCTCTTCGTCTTCGTCTTCCTCCCTTTGAGGAGCCTCCGATGGAGTCTCTGGAGCTGGGCCTGGGGTCGACTTCGGTGCTCCAAAAGCATCCGCGCCCGGGCCCTCACCTTACAGTTGCTTAGTAGGGAAGGAAAGAATGGTAGTAATATGATAGTAATATGATAGTAAGATGGTAGTAATATGATAGTAATATGGTAGTAATATGGTAGTAATTGTACCCCATTCCTCCATTGCCTACTAACCCAAGGTAAGTTATAGGATTATTATGGCCCCTATACTATAGTACCCCTACAGATCCCCTATAGTAACCCTATATAGACCCCTTTAGAAGACCAACGGTAAGTCACGAAGAGGACCTGCGCCCGATCCGTGTGGATCTCGTAGTTCTGGCCCAGGACGCCGATCAGCAAGTTCATGAGCCTCTGCTCTTTAGGGTTTAGGGTTTAGGGTTGTTATAAAGGGCCTTATATCCTAAGTTACCATAAGAAGGGGCTTAACCTAAGTTACCATGAGAAGGGGCTTAACTATAAGTTGCCATAAGAAGAAGCTAGAGTATGGCTTCCTTGCCATGGTAACTTAAGCTACATCCCCTTAGCAAGCGCCCAGGAGCAGGATGGTAATTCCGACGCCTGTGACGAAGAAGATGACCTGCAGGTACACGAAGGAGAAAGAGCCGATTTCCTCGGGGACGGGGTCATTGGGCACCCACTCACCTGGGTGGTTGTCAAAATTCGGGTCACTTTTCGGGTCCTTATTATAATACGGCACCCAATATTTAGGGTACTACCCAAAAACGGGCCCTAATGTTGACAACCACCCACCTGTAGCGTCAACTGCGAAGGTTGTGTCTTGTCCCTGGTACTCGAAGAGGTCGAAGTCGCCAAAAATCCCAAGGCGTACAGTATGGGTGAAGGCAGAGTATATGGGTAGTGGGTCTTCCCCTCTAGGGTTTAAGATGAAATAGGCATGTGTCGCCGATGCTAGGCACAGGACGGTCACAAGAAAAAAGGACCACGTATCCCTGACCGCCGACAGGATGGGTAGCAGACGAGGCCCCAGCCACCGCTCGCCGCGCAGGCTGTAGAGGAGTCTCAGCCAAGACATGGCAGAAAAAACTGGCATAAAGCTCTGATCCAGCTCTTCTTGCTCCATCTGAGACCAGATGCTCAAATAGCCCAAGACCAGGTACAGCAGGTCCGCCAAGGACTCGAGGCCCAGAGCGGAATCTTCGGACTTCCGGCTTCCGCAGCATTGGCTCCAGAAGAGGGAAGCAGCCTCGGTACTTAGGGCTTCGGTCGCCGACTGCGGGGCCGGGGGTCGTGACCATAAGGGGATTTAATAGTTACCCTATACTATTTTGGGGGTTCCTGACTATGATTATAATTAATATGACGGGCCCCAAGTCCCCATTCCACCCACTAAGGCCCCCAAAATAGGGTTTAGGGCTTGGGCTGAGGATGCCGGATTCGAGCGCCCGGCCTGCGCCAGCCACTCGAGAGCCTCCTTCGAGTGGATCAGCGTCAAAGTCCACAAAGCTGGCCTTGCTGGAAAAAGCAACTTCAGGGATTCTGCGCTGGTTTGGGGGGGGGGGGGGGCAGATGTGGGGCGTGCCGTCTGCTCTTGATGCCTGAATCATGAATGATCAGGGGTTTCATAACACAGCTGGAACAAGATGCTTCTGAATCCAGCTCTCACTGGCGCCTTGTCTAGCTATGGCCAGCCGAGATGGACAACGGTGGCAGCTTCAGGGTAGCAGCATTACGCCTCAAGCAGTGTCTGAGGAGTCGGCATGGCATCTATGCCTCCGTAGCGGTAGGCGTAGCTGACCCGGCACAAGCACACCACGCTCACCAACATCAGCAGTATGTCCTGCGAGAACAGCCCCTTGCCATGTTAGGACCGTGACCCAACATGAAACTAAATGAATAGTCGCTCTCCGATGCCAACGCCCGGCGGTCCGCTGCTGTGGAAGCACGCATCTGAAGCCATGCCGCCGATATCAGCGCATCGACCGTGTCAGTGGCAACCGATTCCTCTTCAGGTTTAAGAAGGCATGTTCAGTCTTACGGTCTAGGACTTATGCTCGCGACCAAAGACAGGTGCAGACGCCACAAAACGTCGTCAGGATGAGAGCACGATGGTGCTGCAGTAAGGTTGAAAACCGTACTATACCCATGAAGATGTCCTCATTGGCGGTCTCGGCCACTGCAGCCAAGACCATCCTGCACACATCGCAGGCGCTACTCTGCGGCGAGATTCTGAATGACAACAAGACTTGACTAGCATGGCTCTCACAGGTTTCGCGGTTTCACGCGCCAGCCTTGCTGCTTCTTCTTGCCCTTCTCATTGTGACTATCACCTTCTGTCCGCACAGGACAGTTTGAGTGCCTTCGCCGACACACTGCTTCTTGCTCCTGAAATCTCCTGAAGGTAGTGAGCCGTCGGTTTCGATTCTACGAAAGCTACGTTAGGTCGACTCTCAGCCCACTCTGCTCGCACAGCAGTTGCAATTAATTTGTGACAGGTGACAATCCGAAACCTCGACACTGCAACAACTTCGGCCTCGCCCGTGCCACCGGGGCCAGCAGCGGCATCCCCAGTACAGTCACGCCCACCTCGGCAGCCTGCGAATTCGTCCAGTTGGGGTCTATGCTTGAAGCTCCGAAAGGAAGATGACAGCCTGCGACTTCGTGCAGTGGGGGTCCATGCTGAAAGCTCCGAAAGGAAGATGACATGTATAAATTGAAATGTGAAATTTGATATTGGTATGCATAGCAACCCTGATACCACATCTATGCGGTTGATTCTCGCCATGAATGATTATTGTCAAGTGCCTGCAAGTATTGCAGTTGTTGACATGCGTTACGCTTTATGCTCGCACTAGCGCTCACACTTGCAGTGGAGTAGCAGTGCTGCTGCTGCTGCTGCTGCTGCTGCTGCTGCTGCTGCTGCTGCTGCTGCTGCTGCTACTGCTACTGCTACTACTGCTACAAAACTGCTACTACCGCTACTACTGCTACTACTGCTACTGCTTCCACTATTGCTACTACTGCTACTGCTGCTACTGCCGCTTCTCCTGCTACTGCTGCTACTACTGCTACTGCTGCCGCTACTGCTGCTACTGCTGCTGCTGCTCCTGCTGCTCCTGCTGCTCCTGCTGCTCCTGCTGCTCCTGCTGCTCCTGCTCCTCCTGCTCCTACTGCTCATGCTCCTGCTCCTGCTCCTGCTCCTGCTGCTGCAACTGCGACTGCGACTGCGACTGCGACTGCGACTGCGACTGCGACTGCGACTGCGACTGCCACTGCCACTGCCACTGCCACTGCCACCGCCACCGCCACTGCCACCGCCACTGCCACTGCCACTGCTACTGCTGCGGCCGCCGCCCCTGCCACTGCCGCTGCCTCTGTCACTGCTACTGCTTCTGCTTCCGCCACCGCTAGTGCTACTGCTTACTGCCTGCTGCCTACAGCTACTGCTACAACCTCCTTGTAAACAAACCATTGAGACAGAACATGAGCACAAAGATGCATAGAAGATGTGGAATTCGCAGGTTAATGCCTCAACCCTAAGCCAGTCCCTGATGCTTGTCCGAACTCTTGAATAAAACAGAGTCTCCCCCAGACAGCACACAACCCCTTAAACCTCAAAAGGCGCGCCCCTGTGTGCAAATTGACGGAAAATCGTCTACCGCGGGCGTCACCTCGAAAAGGTTCTGCTCGTTGAGGGCACCAGATGCTGCAGCTGCTGCTGCACCCGCCGGAAAGTCGTTCTGCAGAAGGCGCGTGGCGACAATGCATGAGCTTTTGCTTCATTCCTCAAAACCCTTGGCGCCTTTGCTGTCCAACGAGGCATAAGGCCCCCAACAACAGGTCCCTAAACCCTAAACCCTAAGCCCCTAAACACTAAACCCCAAACTCTAAACCCTAAACCCCTAAACCCTAAACCCTAGTCTCTCTGCCCCATAAGTGGCGCCTCCAGGTCACAGGAGGGGAGCAGCAGTACTCGGAGGTGTTCTCGGAGCCTGGCTTGTCCAGGTTGGGCCTTGGCCTGCAGACAGAGGAGAAAGAGAGCATGATTTAGGGTTTAGGGTTTAGGGTTTAGGGCTGGGTTTAGGGTTTAGGGGCTTCAAGAAGAGAGCATGGGAGGAGAAGGCTTGAAAAGGGGAGAAGAATTTCAAAAATGAATAGGGTGGCACCATCAGCGGAGCACGAGGAGGAATAGACGACACTCATAAGAAGAGTTACCAGAAACCGAGAGTAGCACCAGCCACAGTCTGTAGGAGCACATGGGTGGTTGTCAAAACTAGGGTCCCTTTTTGGGTACCTTAATATAATACGGCACCTATTGATTAAGGTGCCTAAAAAGGGACCCTAATTTTGACAACCACCCACATGGTGGCAGAGCCCGGCCATTGCCAGATCGGCCAAAGCCCAGTGCTTCTCCAAATTCAAGGATTACCTTACCCAGAGGCTCCATAGTAGTTCCTTTTTGGGGATTACCATAGGATTCTGAACATGAACCCCCATCAGGAACTACTATGGAGCCTATGGCCTATGGGTAGATTATTCGAAAAGACGACGAGCTCCTGATACCGAGGCCTTCAAGCCTTGGAAGCAGTGATGCTTCGCCAACTGTTTAAGATAACGACCATCATCTTCATCATCCCCATCGTGGTCACCCGCATCCTCGTTACTTCAGGGTTTCATCTTATCAAGGTTGGCATGAAAGCTGCTGCTGTGGTTTTTATCCATAACATTCCAATTCCCATGTTTTGACACTGGCGTTACCATGACGACTTTCACCACCGTCACGAAGTTTCGAAACAATGGCGCTAATGACGTAGAACGTCAATACACCGCCATCACCCTCACAGTCATAACTTATCTAACCGCAATCATTGGTCTCATGCGCAACTTCCAACCCATTCCTGGCTGTGGATGTTGGTTTCCGACGCCAATCTACACAATCTCGGCTCAGTGTGTGCAGTGAGCAGGTGTTTCATGCATCCATCAACCGCAGACTGTGAATACAGTCAGAACAATCAACTACAAGCCCTAAACCAAAAGTACCAACCCGGCACCTCCTAACATCCAGATGCTGGCTGAAACCTCAAGCAGGAAGCCTAGCTCGGGAGCTACGACCCTAAACCCTTAACTACAACTCTAAACCCCAAACTAAGTTTGTTGGTGGAGTGACAAGAGGGCTTCATCAAAGCTTCAGGAGGGATCGATAGTAGTTCATGAATGTTGGAGCTATCTGAGGTATCTATAGAGGTCATAAATGCGGGGGATGTCGGATCCTTCGTACTTTTTGGGTGGCTTGGGTTTAGAACACAGTTTGAAGAGGTGGGATCCTGAAAAGGATCCCTTTCCTTACTAGACAGGGGCACCGCATGATGCAGGGGCTTCCGTGTCGTGAGCCTGGAGTGATGGTCTAGAGCTGGGCATGCTGCAGTTGCAGGCTTAGAGTCTTATGTGTGTGGTGGTCTGGTAGGTTCCTGCAGTCGGGAAGTCATCACAAGGTATCAACCTACACCAGAACTGCCAAGTACGACTCGGACTTGCTGCTTCATGGCCAGCGTTTAGGGCACGGTGTGTTTGCTAGGACTTGGGGTTCAGGGTTTCGAGCTTGGGGCTTGGGTTTGGTTCCGGGCTTCGGGTTTGTGGCTTCTTGCTAAACCCTAAACCCTAAACCCTAAAAACCCTTTTTTTCGCTCCGGGTCTCGGGCGCCTCGGAGAGCAACGCCTCAACAGCCTCGGTGTAGCGAGGGCCTTCGCCACGGAGTAGGCAAGTGAGCGTCACGGCACTCCTCGGCTGACACATGGGAGGTTCTCGAAATTACGGTCCCGATTTACGGTTCGTTCATAAGGGTGCTGTAGTCAATTTTGGGGACCAAAAAGGGCACCCTAATTCAGAGAACTACCCGTACCCTTATAGAACAATAGATCCCCTTTAAGGAGCCCTACAAAGGGCCCGCTTTGGAGCCTGACGATGCCTTTCATGGCCACCTTTAGGATAGACTCTTTTGGGACTACGGGAGATGCTATTGTTGTTAAGAAAAAAAGAAAAGGCATCGGCCCAGGCCTCAAAGACCCAAGTCTGCCGTCCTTCACGCCAAAAACGATTGGCTGCACTCTGAGGTCCAAACAACGGGGCTCTTTTTTTAATGGGCCCTTGTCAGTCTGCCTTAGCGTTCTTGCGTTTAGGGTTTAGGGTTAGATGCTTCGAGGGACACGGAAGCGTTGTACTCGCGGAGGACCTTGAAGGCATGTAAACATCCACAGTATGCTGCCAGGTCCTTGGTGCTTCGCTTTCCTACACTTCCAGCGACGTCTACGGCAAGCCGAGACGACGCAGAGTTGGAGACTTGAAGGGGTTTGCAGGAGCAGTAGCAACTTGATTGTGGTTGTCGTCGTAGTACTGGAAGTAGCAGCATCAGCAGTAGCAGCAGCTGTCGCCGTCGTCGTCGTGCTCGTGGTAGCGGTAGCGAGGTAGTAGTGGTAGTGGCGGTGGCGGTGGCCGTGGCAGTGGTAGCGGCAGTGGTGGTGGTAGCCGTGGCAGTCGGAGTAGTGGAACTGGCTGGAGCATGACAAGTAGGAGTACAGGCAGTAGCGGTAGCGGTAGGGTAGCGGCAGCGTTCGCGTTTGAGGTGGCATCAGCGGTAGCGGTTGAGGTATTGGAGCAGTAGTAGTAGCAGCAGCAGGCGTATATAGCCGTAGCAGCAGCAGTAGCAGCAGCAGTATCAATAGCAACAGGAGTAGCGGCAGCAGTAGGAGTCGTAGCAGCAAGCCTCTTCTCAAGTCAATTTACATCCACTGCTACCGCTAAAGCCCCAAACCCTCAAGCCATGAAACCAAAACCCTTGACCTAGACCCTGCAGTACTGAGAGGCCTTTACATCCAGGTGTCGGCGGCCGTCTTCAAGCCAAAGCGGCCGAAGTCTTCCGGAAAGTCGGAGTTCGGGTTTCGGGTGCAAGTGGCTTCGGCTTCGGGATGAAGTTTAGAGAGGAGGGCCTAGGTCTGTCAGGTACGACTATACTATAGTTATAAGAAGGAACCCCCTTAAAACCCTGTTCTACTTGTGAAGGCCCAGAGATTATAGAATATAGTTGCAGGATCCCGCAGAGTTGAGAATCGGGCCCGAGATCACGAAACTGATTGAAGCTGCACTGGAAAAGGCAAAAGCTTTCACCGAAAACCTGAAACCTCTTCCAAGGCCCTAAACCCTAAACCCTAAACCCCGAACCGCTATCTGCAGGCTGGCCTTGGGTGATGTGCGCCTCGATGTCGGCTCGCGAATCCTCTGTGACAGAGTGTGTGGAATGCAGGAGGCTGCTACGTTTCGGGGACCGTTGTGTATTTTTGAACTTCTGATTTTTGAACTTCTTGGCCTAGGCTTCTTGGTCTTGAGACGATACCCTTTATAAACACATTCCTGCAGCCTCAGAAAGCGAGACAAATTTTGCAAACAGCAAACTATACCCATGACACCCGAAGCCGACCCACCCCGGTGCCCTCCCAGCATCCCATTGCGGCTCCAGCAGGAGCTTGACTATGTCTGGGTGTCCACACCGAGCTGCCTTTCGGAAAGGCTGGAATCTCAGAGCCGTCATGAAGGGTACTGGGGCTGTATGATGGCAAGCATAGCAACGAAAAACGATGGGAGAAGGCCTTGCAGCCACCAGGCAGACAGTAGTTGTCATGAAAGCAAAACCTCGGTGAATAGCAACAATAGCAACAATACTGATGATGACCGTACATAGTGGGTCATGCCGCAACCTCATGCAAAAACCATCATCTGACCATGAAACCACACGACCCTTCCTTTCCCACTTGGCGATATGGCCTCAAGCCTACCGTTCACTTGTTGAGAGTTTCCCCAACTTTGGTGAGGGCGGGTGGATTCTGAGGGATGCACGGACACGCATTGAGGCCTCCCCGGAACTGTATTGAGCAGCGAAATTTGATTTTGCTGTAGGCCTTAGACTTTTTGACGTTAAACTCTAAAAGTAGTGAGGGCCTACTGTAGACTTTCCAGCAAGTTGGATCTGCAATAGTGGCGGAGGGGGTTGGGGTGTGTAGGGTTCGGGATACCATGATTGCATTATATTAGACGTGCGGCGGGGATTAACTTCTGGAGGGGGACTGCAGGATTACTGCAGCCACCCGCGGCCTCGAGAGGCGCAGACAGCCTTACTTGAAGGTTCATGGGTAGTGATAAGTGGGGTTATAAGTAGGGTAACCATACATACAACCCATAATTGGGGACTTCTAACTCCACTTATAACTACCCATGAACCTAGTAGACCTAAACCATATACCCTTAGAGAAACCCTAAAGATCCCTTTAAAGGAACTCTTAAAGGAGCCCTTGTAACTACCCATGAACCTCCAAGTATGGTCAGATTCTAAGAGGCTTCGTGTAGCTTGCAGCCCCAGAGTTGAATCTACGCTTTGGGACATAATCTATGGGTTTCTTATTATGACCATAGTATATTGGTATAATCTATGGGCCTTTATCAGTGAAATAGGGTTGTGGGGGTTCCTTCTTGTAACTCTAGTATACTAGTACAATATACCCCCAAACCTTGTTCTAGGTATTAAGGCCATCACCTGACGCCTCTAAATTTCGCAGGGCATGCTGCACCCACAAGCCGCGACTCCTAAGACCGCATGTACTCAAGCTAGGGTTTAGTCTAGGGCTTATGGTTTAGGATGCCTTCGGGAAGCTTTATGACAGGACCACTCGATTAAGTCACTTCCAGAGCCTCGTGGAGTGCATTTCGCCCCATATAACTGCACTCGTTGATGTCCACCTTCTCGGTAGCCAGTATTCTTGAAACCTTGGCTTTGCGGTGCTGCACTAGCGCTGCAGAGTGCGAGCGTTTACGACAAGGGTTTGTAGTCCACACAGGATCCTTGCAACTACAGGTAGATTGATACCGGGATAGATCGACCCATAGACGAACGGACGGACAGACCAGACACGCAGATGCTGCCCTGGAACGGAAAGCAACTGTTCAACGAGATTTTCATAGCTCCCCAAAGCAAACTCATTGAACCCGGCCGGAAATATTACGGCTGCCATTACAACGAGAGAAGTCCCACCACCCCAGACAAATATCATGGCGATTTTCCAAGGCGCCCAGCAGAAGCTGGAGAGCGTCAACAGAGCGAATGAAATTCAATATAGTATAATATAGTATAAGATAGTATATATAATATATGCAATGATTCAGGGAACCCTGAGGCAGCTTGCTGCAACTTTGACGTAGTGATGGGCTTAGAACTAGCTATTGCTGCTGCTTGTCAAGCACAACTGGGGTGCTGCTCGAGCAAAGCATAAACATCACAAATCTTCGTATTTCGGGCATTATTCCTGCTTGGACGATTACTCACTCCTTGTGGCTTGGCACCATATCAATCTCTCCCATCTCGCCAGCCGCATCTATCAGATCCGACAGCACGCTGGAGACCTCTACCTGGCTCAGTCTGCCACAACTGCTACTACTGCTGCTACTACTACCACCACCACTACTACCACTACTACTACCACTACTACTACCACTACTACTACTACTACTACTACGACTACTACCACTACCACTACCACTACCACCACCACCACCACCACCACCACCACCACCACCACCACCACGACCGCGACCACGACCACGACCACGACCACTCCCACTCCCACTCCCACTCCCACTCCCACTACCACTACCACTACTACTACTACTACTACTACTACTACTACTACTACTACTACTACTACTACTACTACTACTACTACTACTACTACTGCTACTGCTACTGCTACTGCTACTGCTCTGCTACTGCTACTGCTACTGCTACTGCTACTGCTACTGCTACTGCTACTGCTACTGCTACTGCTACTGCTACTGCTACTGCTACTGCTACTGCTACTGCTACGACTACTACGACTACTACTACAACTATTGCTACGACTATTGCTACGACTATTGCTACGACTACTACTACGACTACTACTACGACTACTACTACGACTACTACGACTACTACGACTACTACCACTACCACTACCACTACCACTACCAACTTACCACTACCACTACACCACACCACACCACACCACACCACACCACTACCACACCACCACCACCACCACCACCCACCACCACCACCACCCACCACCACCACCACCACCACCACCACCACCACCACCACCACCACCACCACCACCACCACCACCACCACGACCACGACCACGACCACGACCACGACCACGACCACGACCATTCCCACTCCCACTCCCACTCCCACTACTACTACTACTACTACTACTACTACTACTACTACTACTACTACTACTACTACTGCTCCTACTGCTACTGCTACTGCTACTGCTACTGCTGCTGCTGCTACTGCTACTGCTACTGCTACTGCTACTACTACTACCACTACTACCACTACTACTGCTACTACTGCTACTCCTACTACTACTCCTACTACTACTCCTCCTCCTCCTCCTGCTGCTGCTGCTGGCTGCTGCTACTACTACCACCATCACCACGACGACTACGACTACGACTACGCCTACTACTTCTTCTACTACTATTGGCCACCAACCACCCCCGGCTGCCAACCACCTGGCGCCTAAACCCATGATCATCTTCGTTGGTATTGGACTACGACATCACGAAAGTACTGTAACTACCGAGTAAAATTTATTTTCCCTTTTCAAACGTACATCATCATCCCCCCCCTCCCGCAAGCAGGCGCCCAGGTGGTTTGTTTGTCTGTGTGCTGGTGACGGGGGCGTATGCGTGTGGGTGGAAGGTGCAGCCGTTTAAGACAAGGTCCCGAGACGCTCCAACCCTCAACAGGCTGTTCACAAGTGAGCCCCGCGTGCCTAGCACGAAAGCACATACACACAGATGTGAAGACGTGTCCGACCCGGCGAACCTCATCCATCGCCAACGCCGACAAAAAGTCCTTCTGCAACTCCTGGATATCAATTTGGCAACAGTAGTGATGAGGGCTTGAGGTTTGGGGGGTGCACCAGTAGGTACCATAAGTGGACCGTAAGTGATAATGGGGCCCCTCAACACTGCTACCAGTATACCAGCATTAGTGGCGCTTGGCCGAACCCAAGATAAGCGAGAACACCTCTTACGGAGCAGAAGCCGCGTAGTTAGGGACTTTTCTACAATCCAGGTCCCGCGCAAAATCTTTTCTGACAGAAACTTCCTTTAAGTGTAAACCTCGCTTCCGGATCACAAAACACCCAAACAGCATCCCTTGTAGAGCCCTTGAAAAGAAGCCCGTAAGGAACCCTAGTCTGATCTTTAAGGTATCCATATCCGGCTTTTCATGGCGCCTCCGTCTCCTTCTTTTCCTCGCCACTTTCCGCTCTGGATTTCGCCTCCGCTGAGGGCATGTCCTCAGGCAGTGTCCCGTCCTCGGATAAGAGGTTACCAAGTTGAGGGTTGGAGGGTTCGGGGGGGCTCAGGGTTTTACCGTTTAGGGTATCGGATTGAGGGCTTAGTAGCAAACCCTAAACCCAACGACAGCTGCACGAAACTGCCGGTCAGCTGAAAACTGGCGAGGGACTTCCCTTGCTCCTTTAAGAGGGACACTCAAGATTCGACTTGCTCAGAAATCCCGAGTCGTGAGGGTTTAGGCCTTAGGGTTCAGGGTTGAGAGAAGGGAACTCAGTTACGAAGAAAGGCTAAGACCGTCAGAAATTTCCAAAGGCATTCCACCCCGGTACCTGAAACCCTAGACATGCACCCTAGGCCCTAGACCGTGAACCCTTGACTATAGATAGACTATAAGCCCTAAACCATAACTCCTCAACTATAAACGTTTTCCATGAACCCTGAACCAAACATTTTTTGCCCTAAACCCCTAAATCCCAAAACCCTAAACCCCTAAATCCCTAAACCCTATACCCCTAAACCCTGCAGCCAAGGCGACGGCTCTTTGCTCGGGCTCGACCTCCGCTGGGTCTGCCACGGTGCCTACGCTGGCAAGACACGGGGCTCAGGGACGAGGAACCCAAAACAATCATGAGAAGAAGAATAGAATAGAATAGAATAGAATAGAATAGGCATATGATTCATGGTTATAAGACGAGTAGAACTACTACTGACGATAAAAAGAAGAAGAAATACAGCTAACAAAAACGGTCATATTGCTAACACAAAGAAAATCATAATCAAAACCATTTGCTTTCAAGCGCCTCGAGTTTGGGCATTGAGGGTTTTGGGCCTTTGGGTGAAGAGGAGCTTTGGGTTTTCCCTTGGGATCAAAATAGCCCAAAAGCCTTATCTAGTATGGTGTTTGGGCCCAAAAGCCTTGGTATATGAGTCCTTCGATCCCTCGGGTTTGACTCGGGGTTCGCCAGCTTTCGATGTAGGCTGCGGAGCTCATTGTGGAGCTTACGGTTTGGGGCTGTGGCGATTGGGTTGGTGTTTGGGCTGAGGGTTTCGGGTCAGGGTTCCGGGTTTATCCCCAGGAAGATTTCTCCAGCAGAAGATGCGGAGAAGAGTTGAATGTAAACTCACAGAGGTTTAGGAATGTGGATTTCTCCATGCTTTTGGAAAAGTCAGGGTCCACCGAGCCTGGGACGACCGTCATGATATCCGAGATGAGCCGCTGCTCCTGTCTCTTGGTGAGCTTGGGATTCTGAGTTTGGCGGTTTTGGGCTTTGGGCTTGAGGTTTTGGATTTCTGTGATTGGCGGATGGTGGTTATATGAGGCTTTCGCGCACATGGCTCGGATTGAGGATAAGAAAAGCAGTCCCAAATTCCGAGACACAGAGATGCAAAGAGCCGAAAAGTCTTAGCCTAGTGGCTCAAACCGGCAGGTCCTCTTCGTCAAAGTGCATAATGTCAGCTTCGATCTGATCTTGGCCGCCTAACAACGATTGTCCAACTCGATGTTACTTGGGTTTTTGCTGCAATTCCCATGTCCTCCTCATTTACACCATCTGCACCAACAGCCACAGCATCATCATCATCAGCAGTAGCAGTTGCAGCAGCACTACGTTATCCTCGACATTATCAGCAACACCATCATCAACAGCACAACCATTGTGATCCTTATAGAGCCCTTGTAGTATCTCTTATATAAAAAACTTAAGCTAATCATCAGCAGCAGCTCAGCTACTGCTACCGTCACGACCGTCACGATGGTCATCATCGTCAGCAGCAGCAACGGCTACTATAAGGGATCTTTAAGGGTACTATAATGCTTCCTTTAAAGGGGTCTATAAGGGCTAATATGAGGGATCTATAAGGGTACTAGAGGGTTCCTTATGTGAACCCTACTATAATGTCATCGACAGGATTGTCATCGTCATCTTGAACAGTAGCTGCAACAAGCCCAGCCTCTTCCGACTCCCGACAGCCCTGGAAGCTTAAACTTGGCCCGAACCCTCAAGCTGGACCTTTAGCCCTGACCCTAATCCGAAAGCCTGAATCAGTGCCCCGGGAGCACAGAAGCCCAAATGGGAGTTTCCGAAAATAGGGGCCCCTAATATAGTACCCTAAATAGTAGGATCCTTATTATAAGGACCCCAAAATAAGGTACCCTAATTTTCGGAAACTCCCATAATCTTCGCCACAGGTGCCCAGCCTATTTCAGGGCTTATCTCGTCCTCGTCCCGCCTCGAAGCAGCTGGGGTTCAGGGTTGGGGAACCGTGCATGCAATTCCCATGTCACTCACCGTCGATTCAAACCCTATCCTAGGTGTCGATTTCAGCAGTCTCGGGCTCTGTAGCAAACAACAAAGGGAATGTCAAAATAATCCCCTATCGGCTTTGTGCACAGGGCGCCTCCACCACGCCAGGGCGTCAGTTAGCATTCCGCTGCTTTAGGGTTTCGGCTTTGGGGTTTCATCTGAAGGAAGACTCACAGGGCAATGCACTCGGACGTACCCGAAGCCTTCCGTTGCGACACCTTTAGATAGTGACACGCAGTTTTTGGGCATGCGACCAGTAAGACGACACAACGGTCCGTATGGTCTAATCACTGGAGAGCGACGGGAAGGGTGTAGGCCTGCCGAAATTCATGTCGGCTCGCACGAGGCAGCGCCCACGCGCCAGACATCCGAACGGGCTTGGCTATCGGAAAACCTGCCCTAAGGGTCCAAGTATCTAATTATCATAAACTCTCCAAAATAGTAACCTACATAACTACTATCCTAAAACCGAGTACCTGATTACTGGGTCCTTTGGACCCTTCGGGCTACAAGCCCGGATGCAGCACTGCTGTACGCTGGCGGGTACCGTGCCTGAATGCAAGAACACTTGGAGGTTCGTGGGTAGTTATAAGTAGAGTTATAAGTAGGGTAACTGTACTTTTAACCCATATTAGGGGACTTATAACCCTACTTATAACTACCCATGAACCTCCAAGCAGGTTCGACCGGTTTATATAGGCGTGCTCGTGTTGCTTTTGGTGTTTTAGAGCCCTGCTCGACTCCGCTTGCTTGACGAGCTGCAGATGAGAAAAGGGCACAACAAGGCAGTACAGAACTCGAGCGCCCTCGAAGTTGCTTCCAAACAAGCCATGAGTGCATATGAAGGACCAAAGTTGTAGAAACAAGAAGGGCTTTGAGAAATATGTCCGATGCAGCACTGGCTCTCCTCGGAAGCTTCCACAACATCACCCGGCACTCGGCGCGCGGTGTTTCTCCAAGGCATGTCATTGACCAAGTTAGACCTAAGCCAAGACCCCTGCGCAAGTGGGCAGATAGACTGTCGGGAGCTTCCGAAAACAGGGGACCATAATATAGTACCCTGAATAGTAGGATCCGCATTAGAAGGACCGCAAAATAAGGTACCCCCCAATTTTCGGAAACGCCCTGTTGGCTTCAGATCAGAAGGGCTGTCCAAGGACTTTCAGGGATTTGGATCTGGAGGTGTAGGGCCACTGCCACAATGCAGACAGGGTCCGGGCATTGCAGCCTTTGGTGCACTCGTGTTCCACTGAAGAAGCCAAGCGAGACTTGGTCGTTTCGGGTTTAAGTTTTAGTAACTTAGGGTTTTGGGTTAAGCCCTAAAGTCCTAAAGTGTCTTGGTATCGCGAAGAGGGCTGAAACTTTCTTGAGCGCAGATCTACCACTCAGAACGACGCACCAAGTCCGGGCACTCCCCCCCAAGATCGAAAGTCCGTCGCAGACTTTCCGAGGACGTTAACCGTTCTGGGACTTTGCCCAGACAGCTCAACGAAAGGATGAGCCTTCGTGAACATAACGGATGAGATTGGTAAGATCTAGTATTTTACATGGTCGTTACAGTCATTTCTACCATGTTGTATTATGCTCTATTTTAGTGTATCTAGTCTCTGGACCTTGTCCACTCAACTTGCCTGGCAGTAGTTGTAGCCATGGATGAAGTGACTAGGCAGACCAGATCCACTCTGTCTCGCTTGTCGTTTTGCTTCTACCGCAAGCGAACCTTTTCCCACAAACGGGGGCTTGTGAAATTAGGAACCTTTCGTTAAGGGTCCGTACAGTAACGGCCCTGGCTTTCAGGTCTTTGCTGACGTTTTGCACGCAGGGTCCCTGATTTCCGATAGCCCCAAACACCGACTGGCGAGACTCTCACAGATCCCCGGACCGGTCCTCGCAGCAACTCAGCATCGTTGCTACTCTACTGGTGCGGCATGTACCCAAACAACCCTAAACCCTAAACCCTAAACCAAACCGTGACCACGATAGGAACACAGTTCTCCACAGTCCCAAATCAATGCGTGGCTTTCGATCTCCTCGTCAGAAGGCCCAACAGGCCCAGAGGCCTGCCACGACCCCCATGGCCCCGCCAAGGGCAGACTCCACCGCCTCCGATTCCCAGATCCTTACTTCTGGCTTGAACGGGTCTTCCGGGGGGTGTCGGAAGCCTTCTCTACACTATCCGCGTCATTCTCGTGCTCGTAATCTCAGACTTAGGCCCTGTGGGATATCCCGAAGCAGAACTCCGACATCTTCGGCACTCCCCACTCCAGCGCTTGGGGCGGTGCTGCTGGATTGTGGCCCAACTCCCGTGATCTGACCCCTGAAGAGCCCCAGAGCAACCACATGAAAGAAAACGGCGTGGAGAAAGAAGTCTAGATTTCAGGCTTTCACCGTGTGCGTGCGTTAGATTCCGGCCCAGCTTCTTTCTATCCCAGAGGTGCTGAAGCAGCTCCTCCAGGTAATCCATCTTGGCCCAGTCTCTCGTCCTCCCGCGACGAGCTCACTGACAACATCTGCGAAACTTCCAGCTTCACACCGCATTGGGGCAGGGATACGAACAACTGGTGGGAGTTCCCGAAAATCCGGGGGTACCTGATTTAGGGGTTCTTATCATAAGGATCCTACTAAACAAGGCACTGTATTAGGGTCCCCTATTTTCGGAAACCCCCAACTGATAGTATCTATATACTCTAGGAACAACAAGGCCTAGAGATCCTATTCCTCGTCATTCCGATCCGAAACCCCAAACCCTCAGCCCCAAACCCTCAACAGCCCTAAACAACCCTAAACACCCCTTAAACATCCCTTAAACACCCTAAACCCCAAAACCTCCCAACGAAGAGCCTAGGTTTCGGCCTCTTCTCGGCGAGTCGCTCTTGGCACTCGAAGGACTCCGAGCCACTCAGTCGGAGGCCTTTGGGTACTTTAAGATTACTTCTAGAACACCATAATGTTACCATTAAGGTTTTGGGTTTAGGGTGGTTTAGGGGGTTACTATGAGCATGCTGTAAGGCCACTATGAGGCTAACATGCCATGATGCTACGGCAGGCTACGATAAATGGTACTCTAAAGCTACTGTGAGGCTACCAGATTACTTTAAGCTACTAGTACGTCACGCGTCGAATCCCATCCGGGTTCAGGGTTTAGGGTTTAAGCACCCCTGATGCTCGCGGCAAAGCTCTAAACCCTAAACCCCTAAACCCTAAACCCCTAAACCCTAAACCCCTAAACCCTAAACCCTAAACCCCTAAACCCTAAACCCCTAAACCGTACATGAAATTCCGGCAGAGATCCTTTGAACCTCTTAGGAGCGGCAGCGGAGCCCGAAAACTCTTGTAGGGTCCTCATTGAGGTTGAGATGCTTAGAGCTCCAAAGAAGACCACAAGATTGCTAGAGTGACATGTGATAACATCTTCATCCATCTTCTATTCTACTCTGTCATACTTGATTATGTGTTACACTATATCATGTTATGGTTTAGCTTAATATGAAGAACAAGGAACACAAGCTAGACGAGCCCACCATTAGCCCTTCTTGCAGCACACTCCCGCATTCCGCCGGGACACACGGCAAAGCAGCGGAAACCATATGGCTGCCTTCGCTGCATCATTGAAATCGGAGGGTTGCTCGAAACTCGAGACCTTTAAAACGCGACCGTCATGAGTGGAATTAGAACGGGGTACTCCATCTGCCTACGTATACCTGTAAAGGAAACATCTATATGTGTACACACACACACACTACTTATACAGTATACATACACACACAGTGGGAATAATTGCACAGGAACTACAAGGATGCACGAATCACCTCTGCCGGCACCGTATCCAAGAGCACAGAGCGTTTGCCCTGGCAAAGCTCTGAAAAAGAAGATACAAAAAGCAGGAATGAGGCGTTCCTCCTATATCATTCCCTTAATCCTACGTGACCCCCTGGCACCCATGCCTGGAGAGGGAAGGTCGGCGTCACTGCTGTTGGCTTCCGGCTTTTGCAGATCCTCACATTGGGTGTTGGGCCCCCGGATGCAGGGAAGGGGGGGGAACTGGAATCTCACAAAACTTGCCACCCTCATCATCCCCCATCGCAGTGTCAGAGCGGGACTTGGTTTCACAGGCCGCCTTCCCGTCAAGCCCCACATTCGGAGCATATCGGAACCATCGTGCGGTAAGGCACTTACACCCTCTACCCAGCGGCTGGCACCTTGCCTTCCAAGCAAAGCGTCCTGGAGGTGCGGGGCGGCGAAGGTCGTGGTCAGCGCCGCAAACACGTCGTCTTCTGACGCCGCGGCTGTCACCTCCTCGAATAGAAGTCTTTGGGCTTCGGGCCGCGGGTTTAGGTACAGGCGGAGATATGATAAAATGATGACATGGAGACCAGGGAGGTTGTTCCGAAAACGCCACCAACACCAACAGCAGGACGACGACCACGACGACGACGGCTGCTGCTGCCGCCGATGCTCATGCCCCCAGCTGCTGGTACTCCTACCACTACTCCTACTCCTGCTCCAGTCTCGACTTCGTGTTTGGCATGCGGTCACGAAGAATCGCACCAGTATGAGTCGCTGTCCCTCCAAAAAGGTGCCTAAAGCTCCAGGCTTTTGGCAGTTCCCCTGCTCGTGCCTGCGACGCTTGGGCGCGTGGGCCGGGCGCCCTAGGCGGTGCCCGGGGCGGTGCCTTCGGTGGCGCCTTGGCTCTCCGGACATTCCAAGCACTCAGAACACAGGAGCTACACGAACTTGGCGAACGGGCCCAGAGCAGTATACAAGTCGCAAGTAACTGCGAATGCCCGTGCTTGAACATGAGATTCGGCTCCCTACCCCAAGGCCCCAAAGTAGTTCCTTTTTGGGGTTCATATTTAGAATTCTGTAGGGTAGTCCCAAAGAGGGAACCCTATGGGTAAGATGTCGCCCAGTCGCGGGAGCCCGTGGTGGCGGCTGTGACCGCAAAGCTTTCGCGTCGGGCCCACTCACAGGTGGGTCCGCTGCCTCGGCCGGCGATTTCTCGAGCATGAAGGCTTTTGGGACTTCTTCTCTCTTGCAGCACAGAGTGTGGGTTTAGGGTTTAGGGTTTTAGGGTTTAGGGCTTAGGGTTTAGGGTTTAGGATAAGAACTCAAAGAAGTCAAAACGTTGAGCAAAGGCTAATAACTTTCGACAGTGACTTGAGCTGACGAGTTGCAACCTGTGGAGGAGACGACTCGACCACACGAAGCTTTTCCTCATTCGACGGCGGCTGACTTGGCACTTCCGGCTGGCCAGCTTCACCACGATGGGTGCTGGAAGTGGCGGGTACCTTCGCAGCCGAAGCAGAATCACCTCCTCCTGTACTAGCAGCTTGCTTGATGGGCTCCTTGGGCTTTGCAGCTTTGCTCGGCTTGTCAGCCTCAGGAGGTGCCACTTCTTCCAGCTTCTCCTTTGGGCTTTCCCGCACCTCTGCTCGCTCAACGGCGCTCGCGGTCTCCTTGTCTGCTGGCGGCTCTTTCGTGCTCCCGTCTTTAGGGAGACTCCTCGCCGGGGCCTTGGGAGCCTCCTTGAGCTCTACGCTGCTCTTTGTCGGGGCGGGTGCTGGCCGGCCAACGGCCTTGGGCTCTGGATCAGCCTGGCGACTCTGTGGCGTCGGCTCTGCTGGGGGCGTCGGTGGCTTGCTCGGCCTCACTTCCGGTTCCGGTGTTGAGCCAACAGCTGCACCTGCCCTCCCTCTTTCACGTGATGTCTGCGGCTCCACTTCCGGGACTTTCGCATCCATCAGCACCTCGGCGAGACTCGACAGTGCACGCTCAAGGGTTACGACGGTTACGAACAAAAGGACGGCAAAGCACCTCTTCCGCCTTCTTCATCTTCGTCGGACCCTGCAAGTGCGGGCCACTTTCTGGTTGCAAATCCGCCTCAGGGGAAACCAAAAATCGAGCTGCCACGAGCGCAGTTCTCCGAGTTCGACAGCCAAGGCCCTGGCCTGCACATGGGCCTCCCTTTGCAGGAAGCCCTGCGCGCGTAGAGCATCCGTGGCGTCGGGAGCAGGTGTGTCAGCGTCGGCGCGCCAGTCTGCCTCCAAGGTTTCCATGGGGCATCGGATTGAAGAAGAAAGGCCCCTAAACCCTAAACCCTCCAGGATAGAAGAAGGAGAGGGCAGCGAAGAGACAAATGCTGACCTCTTAGTCGCTGCTGGTCAATTAATCAAACCCTGAACTCCTTAAATACCCCCAAACCCACCCCTAACAACCTTAAACCCTAAACCCTGAACCCTAAACCCTAAAAAATCCCCCAAATCTTCGCCTCCCAGAGGACCAGCACGGCCCCGAGGACCACCAGCAGGCGCAGCAGACTCGAAGCCGCCCGGCTGCAGTATCGTGGGGGCGGCGCCCAGTCGATGTCTGAGGCAGAATAAGAAGTAATCGTAATACGGATAATAGCAATCATCATCATAATCAAAGGCATCGCAATCATAATAAGAATGAGCCCAAGGAGAGGCCGAGTGATCCAATTTCTATTCTTAGAAGCCTGTCAGTAGAAAAGAATGTAGACAGGGTATAGTGTCATACATTGCAATGAACGACTAGAACTTCACATGATATTCTATAAGGATACTATGATATATCCAAAACTTCAAAAGCCTAGTCTAATTAGCAAGGCTACACTTTGAACACCAAGGCAGCGACAAGCTTCGGCAGGAGGGTTGAGGCGCCAAGGCTCAGATGGCTCAGAAGGGCCAACATCGAGATGAGCCAATTGTGTTGAACTAATACTATGTATGTATATATATATATATATATCATTCATACAGCAATGATACACTGCAGTATACTAGGATACATTCTTGTGTATAAACAGTGATACTATACCGTATACCCTTGATCCACGAACCCATGATGAGTCAAAGAAGAACCTCTGAAGCTGCCCAGATCCTCCAACCTCAAGATTAAACTCTAAACCCCAAAAACCCTAAACCAGTAAGTTTTTGACCTTTGCTTCAACCTGGCAATCCGAGCACCCAGGAAAAAGCCGCTGGAATTGTTGTATAGTAAAACGGGCCTGGCTCCGGCTTCAGGGCTGCCAGCCTCTCTTGGAGCCTTGCATTCCGGGAACTGGGATGCGATGTGTTTGGGCTTTGCCGTTTTGGTGACGGAGCTCCTGGTTAGGGATGCTGAGGTTTTGGGTCTAGGGTTCAGGGCTGTGCCTCCTTCCATCACCTCTGCATGCTCATGGGGCCCCTGCTCCAAGCCCACTCTTGGCTCTTTCTTGCCTCTCTGCTACCAGTGGAAATGTTGTCGGTGCGCCATTTGCTCTTGTGGCTTCTTCTTTTGACATCCTCCTCCTCCTCCTCCTCCTCCTCCGGCTGCTCCTCCTCATCCTCATCAATTATCATCAACATGCCACTGTCAGCACCTTAATTATCAAATTACTAATATTCTTCTTACTTGCCTTCCTCGTTGCCGCTGCGATAGCTAAACTCGACGAAATCGAAATCCACGCTATATCCCTAACATTGGCAATGCCGATAATTACCATCCTATCATCGCCACCATCAGCAAACCCGTCTTACTCGAACCAGTGCTGACAGTACAGCTCTCATCCTCAGTGAGACTGCTACTACAGACGGCGACCACGACGAGACCAACGACGGCGATGCCCGAAATGACAAATGACACGAACACGACGAGACAGAATCCCCAACCCTGGCTTCAAGCCCGAACGAACCCCGGCTCAACTATCCGACTCTACTTGCTCCCCCACAATTTCGAAGCCCCCGCAACCCCGATGAAGCACCGCTGAACGGTTCGGGCCAGAGAGCAAAACCAGCTCCTTCGACTTTATCTGAAGTGCCGACTGCAGCTCGGCATTTCGCTTCTCCTGCATGTGTTGGCTTCGGGTGCTGGGCTTAGCAAGATCACGTCGCACTCCACAGGTTGAACTAGGTCTCGGATGTAGATAACAGCTTGTTCGATTCACGCTTCAAGATTTACAAATTGACGTGTACGGCCTAGGATCAAACCGCGCGGCTCGCGGTTCTCGTCGTCTGGAGCTTGCCTTGGGGCTGCGCTTCGCGTTGATTGCGAAAGCCCGTCCTGTGCTATGGCCGCCTTGTCCAGCTCAGCGATGGTAGCGAGAAGTTGGTCCATAGCGCAGAAAAGCCATGGGGCGAAAGGGTCGCCTGCTGGGGCTCGGCGGTACCGATAGAAACTTCATCGGGCTCGGCTGATCTCTGCGGGGGATGCAGGAAATTTCTCGGAGATGTCAGGCCTCACTCAAGTTTGGAAACGATGAGAGGGACACAAGTGCGGCGGCATGGCTTCGAACCACAGAGGACGCGGGCATAGGCCAAGACGCTGCTCCGGACTGACCGCTCTTCAAAGGCTCTACGGGTCTGCAGATACAGAATCAGATGCTTCAAGCTGCAGCCCCAAGTACAGTTGACTCCACAGTTGTCCCTCCCCCCCCCCGGCCCCACCCGAACTCCAGAGACCCCAGAGCCGCTTGAAGGCATCCCAGAACCCTCCGATGCGCTGCCTTGCGACTCTCGTCAAGGTATCCCCAAGTGTGGAGCCAGTCGGCCACCTGAGGGCTTTCGAGGCTTCGGGTGCCCTGGAAATTGCGAGGCCAGGGTTGCCACGAAGGTGGAGGGCTTCAGAGCTTTGGGGCTTTTGGGGGTAGGGCGCCTCAGGGCTTTGGGGTTTTGGGTTTAGAGCTTTGGGGTGTGGGGTTTTAGGGCTTTGGCTTTGGGGTGTAGGGCAGTGCGGGGTTCACGATATTTTTGAAGTGTGGAGTCTTGGCCAGGCTGGTGCCTTCAGCAAGTACCTAGGCGGACAGGGGCTGGGGCTTGGGCTTCTACGAAAGCACCAGCAGCTCTTCTGCAAAATGCAGGTCAGGATCCCGGCGGGGATGATCAAGGGAAGGATTGATATCTGATGGCACGAAACATTGTCAGAGCTCGTATGCCGCATGACAGCAATCGGAGGCCAGAGCATGCGCACAAAGGCCGCCCAAGCTTTCAAGAAGCCGTCATCTGACAGCAACACCCGAGTAGAGCAAAACACATGTTGGGGAAGCGAGGCGAGTAGGGAGTACCGAGTGCAAAACACTTCTATCGTCCTAATGAGGAGGAGCACAGGGTATTGGTGTTGACTTTGATGGTGTCACAATTTCACAATGACATCCTTAAAGCTGGCCGTGCTGATGATGATGGTAGTGGTGGTGGCGGTGGTCGCAATAATGATTCGGCAATAAAAAGGATAGGGCTTGGGGCCCGTTATGCTGTAATTATAGTAAGGAATCCTAGAATAGTATAGGTAATGCTTAAGGCCCCTTGATGAAAGCACCCCTTATAGATCCCTTATAGTACCCCTTATAGACCCCTTTAAAGGAACTCTATAGGTAACCGATTAAAGGCCCCTCCATTACCAACGCCCCCCTCGTGTCGGTGACAGCAAGAAGCTCAGAGGGCGGCCTCCTGGTTCCGAAGGGAAAGGTCTCGGCAGGGGCAGACAAGCTTTCCCTAAACCCTGTAAAATGTATAAACCCTAAAAATATGTAAACCCTATATGATATTATATAAACCCTAAATAATAGATAAACCCTATATAATCTTATATAAACCCTAAATAATATATAAACCCCTATATAATATTATGTAAACCCTAAATAATATATGAACCCTAAACCCGGGAGGGGGGGGCTCTGAAAAAAGACGGCTTGAAACACTTTGGGGGCTTCTTTATGGCAACCTGTCGGGCCTGGGGTATGCGGACCATGGTGTGCCCATGTTGACAAGCCCGATCAGACCAACTCTGCCCACAGTTCCGCCCAGACAACCAAGAATCTGGGGCAACAACTTTCTGCTCGCAGATGGCCCCTCAATTGCTGGGGAGATCAAGTTTGGGGTTTGGGAGTTTAGGGTTTAATATCACCTGGTGATGTTAAAACTGGGGGACGAGTGCTTACGAGTACGGCCTTCCGGGCCAGGACTGTGGGGTCTGCAGGGTCTCCGAATCAAGGGCTTATGGTGCGGGATATCTTGGGATCTTGGCTGTGCCTTCAGGGTTTAGGCGGCTTAGGCTTTAGGGTTTGCCTTTCAAGCAGCGATTTAAAAGCTGCGAAGATGGACAAGGTCCGAAAAGATTCAAGAAACGCATGTCACGTCAAACCGGCGGCTGTGCCGTCACACCGGCTTGGAGCTTCTTGGCAGATGAGTAAAAAAAGGGCATAGGGGCCTTAATAATTACTTCATAATTACCCACTGTATTCTAGTTTGGGTGTTCTTTGTTATATAGTTTTAGTATGCACCCCGAAACTTTCTTCTAATTGCTTAAGGCCCCTACATTCTAGTACCCTGATAGACCCCTCTAAAGGAACAAAGACTAAGCCTGCCTGTAGAAGAACTGCAGTGGCATCAGGAGAGGTTTTTACCTGGTTTGCTCTTCCGGGTGTCGGTTCAGGGTTCAGGTGCGATCTTCTTTCCAGGAACCCCCAAAGAAGCTGCTCGCCTGTGCGACAGCTCTTCCAGGCATTCCCGGACGAAGTGCTGGCAGTTCGAGACCTGTTCCGTCTCGTCTGTGTCTCTGAGTGTGGGTTACATCACACGGATCGCATGTTGTTGCATGGACGCATGCCTAGATACATGGGTGGATGCAAAGATGGACGTGTCGAAGTGTGCCAGCGGCTGCACGCTACAGCTACACGGCTAAACAGATAGGAAGGATAAAAGACAGACTCTCTGAGACTTGGGTGCAGATGTAGATCCGAACAGACATGCAAAATAATTCCTAAGGAGACTACAGGCGAACAATGAACCATGCCGCATTACCGTTGCTATTGCCATTACTATTACCATTACTATTACGATTGCTATTCCTATTACTCTTACTAGTACTATTGCTAGTACTATAATTGTTCAACACTACTGCTATTATTGTTGTTCTGAGTATACGTAGGCTTTATAATCTTATTGTTTTTATTACTCTCAGCCGGGCCTCTTGGGCCTCCTTGAAGGCTTTTGTCGCAGCCTCGGGGACCGGGGTTTAGAGAGTTTAGGGTTTGGGGTTTAGGGTTAGGGTTAGCTTTAGGGGATTTAGGGCTTAGGGCTTAGGGTTTGGGGGTTTAGTCTAGTGTTGCAGTTGCATCACGAAGTGAAGTCGAGAAATTTGCATGGGGTTTCTGCATGCAGGCCATGTGCATTGACATTTCCTGTCTTCGCTTCAGTCGCACCATGCATCCCACTGCTTAGGGAAACTGGAACTTCTTCACCGCATGTGCACCGAAGACTTCCCAACCTGTGCGCAGGCGTCCTACGCGCAGCTTACAAACTCTCATCCCGCAGGACGCCAGGAAGCTGGGCGACGGGCGACGGCATCCCAGAAGGTCTCGCAAGGAGTGGAGAACTCTTTTGCTTCTGCAGCTAGTGTCGCATGCAGCAAACTTTCAGGATTCAGAAGCCTCAACCCTCTATGTTAACCGTAACGTGAGGCAAAAGAAGGAACAAGCATCTTCTTGCATTCCACCGACAGAAGCGCGCAAATGCCGTTCGAACCAATTGGCTGGCCACAAAACCCGAAGAAGCGACCGAAGACCAACCTACAGTGACAACACCTCATACTGACCGAGGCTCGAAACGATAGCAACGACTAGAAAAACGACAACTCGACCACTAAATGTGACAGACTGCGACACACAGGAAAGATGACAGACCCTGAATTCAGTGAATACCGCGCTCGGAGTGGCTCTGTCGCAATGAAGGAAAAGAGGCAGACAACCCGCACACCAAGCAAAACAAATCGCCAAATCACTTCCAGTCCGGTGTACGTGACTACTTTCGAGTTCGCGTGCTTTACATACCTGCGGCAGCTAGGCCACCATTGCCTCTACGAACGACGCGAGCATCGACTTCCGTGGAGGTCCCATCCTTATCCCAGCCGCCCACTGTCCCAGGCCCTAGGCGAGCCCGGCTTGCCTGCACATCCAGATCAACGTCCCAGCTGTAGCCGGTGCGAGGGGCCTGGCGAAACCGGCAGAAGCAGCGGCGGGAGCAGCGGCAGGAGCAGTGGTAGCGCATGGTAAAGTGGCATGAAAGGAAGTGTAGTAGGTGGTATTGTTTTCGTCGTTGAAGCCGGGGCCATGGCAGCAGCTGCAGCAGCAGCGGCACCGAAAGCAACTTGGCAGCAATTGTTGCAGTGGTTGCTCTGTAGTGGTGGTATTGTCCATTGTTCACTCGCATCCTGGATGCCGTTGCTAAGGGGTGGAGCGAAGCTTGAGTTTCGGGCTGCAGAGCAGAGGCCACGCGGTCTGAGGCTGGCTGGCAACCAGATGCACCTATAGCGACCACCGGCGCAGCGCTCGTTCTTGCAGTATCCGGAAACTTCGTAGACCGAGGCATGCCAGACCCTCGACACCCCGAGCTTCCGTGGAAGTGCCAGGCCTCGGCGAAGCGTTCCAGAAACCTGAGGTGGGGGTTTCCGAAAATAGGGGACCCTAATAAAGTACCCTAAATAGTAGGATCCTTATTATAAGGACCCCCAAAATATGGTACCCCTAATTTCCAGAAACCTGAGGTGCTATGAACTCGGGGCGCGAAGCTATGTACTCCTCAGGTGGCTCAGAGCTGAGGGCTCTCGGAGTCAAATACCAGCAGATGCCAACGCTCAAACGCCCTCTCTCTGATGTGTGACTCTGCATGTGCTGACCGAACTTCGCGAAACCCTTCCTCTACCCGAAAGACCGCAGTAGAACCTCACTCGCATCACCCTGAACGTTGAGTCTCAAGCCGAACACTGACAAGCTCAGAAGCGGGACCCTCACCCCGCACGACGCCAGCTCACGCCCACGTCAGCGTTCTTGTCGAGATAGAGGAGATCCTGCAGACTCTACAGACCGTCCGATCTCGGGAGTGCTGGACTTGGTAAACAGGTTCGCAGGGCGTCCTGGCTTGTGTTGGTAAGGGTCCTGGTCCGGAGAGATCTAAAAAGGCATCCTGGGACTCCCCGCCTCTTTCTCTGCATCTGGGCACTGCAGGCGCACAGCCTGATGATGTATCAGCTGCAGCATGCAATCAGAAGCTCCCCGATCACTCCAGGTTTGTCAGAATGCTATCCGGGAACATACTCGCATCTTCAGGAAGCAGAACCCATATCTGCGCTTAAATTGCAATGGCTGGACCCGAGGCGGCAAGCCCTACAGTGTGCAATCCAAGAGTCGCTGCCATGTCTGTGTAAATAGCTGCACCCCAGTTTAACCGGTTGAAATATCAACAGACAATGCACCGCCGACGTGAAGTCGCGAACAGTACTTGGAGGTTCATGGGTAGTTAAAAGTAGGGTTATAAGTCCCCTAATATGGGTTATAAGTACAGTTGCCCTACTTATAACTCTACTTGGAACTACCCATGAACCTCCGAGTAGGCTCTCCACTGTAGCCTGGAGAAGGCTCGCAAGTTCTTTGATGGGATGGGATGTGCCTGTCCCACCCCATCACGATGGCGCACGCACGGATACTTGGAGGTTCATGGGTAGCTATAAGTAGAGTTGTAAGTAGGGTAACTGTACTTATAACCCATATTAGGGGACTTATAACCCTGCTTATAACCACCCATGAACCTCCAAGTAGACCTCACTACCTACAAGAAACCGCGAAAAGCGACCCCTGATCCCCGGAACTCCGGGCACCCAGCCAAGACGGAATGCTTCAGCCGAAAGAGCCACCTTCCATCACAGGGACTCTTCGGAAAGTAAGGGGGAGGGGGGGTAGGGTGATGTAGGAACCTGATTGAGAAACCTTGGGTCTCTATTTAGGTCCCTTATATGAACCCTACTATTTTGGGGTTATAGGCCCAGGGTTTCTTAATCAGGTTCCTACATATTACCACACTTCCTCAAACTTCCGTAGGCCTTATGAGACCCTTCTCAAGTCCTTATGATTCCACCCTAGACCCTAAACCCCAAACCCTAAACCCCTAAACCCTAAACGCCTAAACCCTAAACCCCTAAACTACCCTAAACCCTAAACCCCTAAACCCTAAACCCCTAAACCCTAAACCCCTACACCCTAAACCCTACACCCTAAACCCCTAAACCCTAAACCCTAAACCCCTCAACCCTAAACCCCTAAACCCCCAAGGGCGAGGGCCGAGCTCGAAGTCCAAGGTTTTGGAGGCTTTGACTTCCGGCTGTGCCAAGGTTCTGATGGTATTCCGATTGGTGGTTGCCAAAATGAGGGTCCCTTTTCTAGGTTCCTGAGTAGCCCCTGTATAACAAGGGTAGCCTTTTTCCTACTATTCGGTTTAATAAGGGAACCCAAAAACAAAAAGGGCAAAAGGGTACCACTCAGGAACCTAGTTTTTGGGTACCCTAAATAATAGGTGCCGTACTATATGGGACCATAATTTTGACAACCACCCCTACCTTAGTTGGCATTTAGTGTTTAGCCGGCAACGGAGTTCCGGCAGAGTTCTATAAGATATGAATCCCGTGATCCCAAAATCTAAATACGCCCCCAAGTCTGTCACATCTCACAGGTCAGCTCGGGCGCGAGCCCCCAGAAACCCAGCCGCGCGGGCCGGCAGTGCTCAGCAACCTGAGCACTCACGGCCGTCCAGCATGGAATGCTGCGACCTTCAGTTTAGGGTTTAGGGTTTAGGGTCTAGGGTTAATCGAGCAAACCCCTGCACTGGCAACAAGTCCTGCACCACCGCGGATCTTGTGCATGTTTTGTGCGCAGAAAGCCTCGGGACCCGAGCGCCCTTCACGCGGCAAGTCGAAGACCAGGGTCCCGGGACGAAGGCTGCAGAGAGCAGAGCAGGATGTCAGGCTTTAGAGTTCGGGATTCAGGGCGCAGGGTTAGGGGCAGGGCTTGCCGCAACATGAGACCACAAAGCCCTGCAAAGTCTCTCGCAAGCTGCGAACCTTACAGTTTCTTCCTCAAGACTGCTCTGCCTCGGGGCAACATCCAGTGCAAAGCGTCCAGAAAGAACGGTGCAACTGCCCCTTGCTCAAGAGAGTCCCAGCCCGCAGGAAATCTTTCGGACACTGCATATGAAGACTGTCTTGGTCAACACCGCAGCCGAAGTCATCTTCAAGCCCTGCTGTAGCTTCGCAAGCCATCTGTTAGGAACCCCAACCTTAAACCCTAAACCCCAAACCCTAAACCCGAAACCCTGAAAACCTGAGCCTTAACCCAAATGCACAGGGCAGCTGCGCCTGTGCCCTGTTGGCCCAGGTCTGTACCAAGGTCTTCGCTCAGGCTGCGGTGCAGGTCTGACCTCGGTTTCTGCTCCGCCAGGATACTTCTATACTGTCACGTGGCCCAAAGGGTCTAGGGCCTATAGGGTTTGGGAAGTTGAGGGGTTCTGGGCATCCGATGCCAGCATTGCGCTGGGCCTTGCCCAAGAAAAGTAACTTGCACACAGCGGGCAAAGCAAAAGAACAAAGCACACATCCCTGAGCCCTTGAACTCATCTCTGCACTGGGTACCAGAGCAGCGTGTATTGCTCTGGCGGCACCGCACCTCGGTTTAGAGATTGTAGGGTCGTGGGGAGAATCAGTAGTAACCGTAGTAGTTAGACTCCCTTATGGCCGGCACATAATTTCATTACCCTAAATTCCTGCATCCTATAAGCCTTACAGGTCGTACCAGTGTTACCCTAAACCCTAAAGCGAAGATGAGATTGACTGAGGCCCTGGCGAAGTAGGGCCACACCCCACACGAGCCTGACATCCTCGGGGAGGCACGGGCTTCTTTCATGGCCGGGCCCCCGGGCTTCTAAGGCCAAAAAGGGTCTTTAGGGGTTTAGGATTTAGGGTTTAGGGGTTTAGGGTTTAAGGGTTGAAGGTTTAGGGTTTTGGTTCAGTTCAGGGCCGGTTGCCGAAGAATTGAAGACCCAAATTGCGATCGATCGACTGGCCTCGTCTGCAGACGGAAATAGCCGGGCCCTGGCAAGTAAGGACACTGCAGCATGGAGCCATGGAAAATCGGATGAACCACGATCGAGGGGTTGTGGGAGATCCCTAACAAAAACTACGGCACAAGTCTGCTGTCTCATCTCGCCTGAAGGCCTTCGACCAACTCGCAGGGCGGAAGAGTGCAGGCGCCATTCCAGCGTGCCTTCGCAAGACTTCTTCGTGCAGCACCCTCATCAAGTGACGCATCAAGTTGGCGCTGAGGGCGTTGTCTGGCACAGTAGTCTGGCTCGCGTCCTGCAACCCTCCGCATCCTCAATGAAAGCACAACCGTGCGCTTTTCGCATGCAGCTTTGCGCAAATAAATAAGCCCAAACCGTCACGGAAAACTGCATTGAAACCTTGGTGACGTCTGGCCTACTTCGTGCACGGGTTCGCCCTCGACCCATCCCGACCCGAGACACGCGAAAGGAGCGCCTTAAAACGAAGAGATCGCGGCAGTCGGCATTCAGGCGCAAGCGCAAAAAACCTCGGCGAACTGACCGAGAGGCAGCCCCCCAGCCGGACTTCCAGAGTGATTCTGAACATCTCACCCTCCAAAGGCTCTTCGAAGCAATGCCGAGAAACTGCGGGATTCGGAAGTCACAGGGCCCAGGGGAAAGTATTCCGTAACCTCGGCGCAAACATGCTCGCCATTAATCCGTCGGACAGAAAAAATAGAAATCCTTGCAACACCAACACGGCAGTTTTTGCGGACACACGCTCAGACACAAGCTCACCGCAAAGCGAGCAACACCAAAGCCGCAGTGCAAACCTCGCCAGCTCAGGCAAGTTCCTCCACGATGCTAGCAGCTGGGCCATGACCTGCACAACACGTTGGCAATCTTGTGCTCTGGATGCCTTTAGGGCCATTGCAACGTCTGATTGAATTCCAGCCCTTACTAAGTCACATTCGCACGAAAGCGATAGCAGCCTTGCAAATTGCTTCCGGCAAGGGGCGCCATGCTCGCGGCAATCTGGTGAACAATCTCGCAGCATATGGACTTGCGACACACAAATACAATCCAACAATCTGAACAAAGCTGACGGAGCTGTCAATTTGCGGAACCGTGATTCGAAAGCCATTCCAGGTTCAAGCACAGTGTCAAAGAAGGGTGACACATCAAAACAAACTTGGTAAGCAGTTTGGCGCAGTAGCTATCAAAAACTGGATTGGCATCAAACAGAAAATTGTACTGCAATTCTGGGGTACTGTTCTGCCCCAAGCTATTGGAGAACGACAATTGCCAAGGTCCTGCACTGAGCCAAGCTGCTGGACAATGACAAGTCACGATCGCCTGTTGTGGGTTTAGCTATTGGGGAACCACAATGTGCAATCTCTTGTCTGCAATGTTGAGGAGCGATCGCAGTAATTGTAGTATTAAAAGCAATGATAACCATGACAATATTAACGGCAATGTGAATAACAATAGTAATAATAACAGAAATAGCCGTACAGTAGTACGAGCACTCGTAATACTCGTAACAACGATAATTACCAGCACTAACAATAGTAGTACTAGTCATGGTAACAACAGATAACAAAAGTAAAACAAGTAAAGAATGATAGCAAGGGTGGCGGTTGTTCAACGCTTAGTTCCCGAATGCTCTCACTTGCAGGCCTTGCCCAGCTAGTACGACGATTGCTTACGGAACCCCAGACCTGCCCGGCCTACTCCACGTCCGCCGGCTGCAGCATGCTGCTGCTGTTTGTAACGCAAGCCAGTTACGTGTGCGTTTACATGTATAATGTAACTCGAAAACTGAATGCTTTTAACTCTGCGGGCCTTGGTGTTTTGTGAGACGTTGCAGAGTTTCGCGGTAGATTTCGGAACTACGGAACTCGAAGCGTGTTGGAGTCGACGGGAACCCCGTCGCTACTAGCAGCTAGAAATAGACAACTAGAAATACATCCTCTCAGCAGCAAACATGTATGATTTTTAACCTTCGCACAGCTGAAACCCAACGCTGGAAGGCTGCTCTTTCGGCTGAAGCTTTCCGCCTTGGCCGGGTGCTTGGAGTGCTTTTGCGGGCTTCCGATCCCAGATCTACATCGTGTATGCTTGGGGGTCGGAATCACATCTGCAGGAACCACGACGGAGCTCAGAAAGCCCCCGGGACCCTCACGCGGAATTGTTTCGGCCTGTCATGTCGACCTGAAAGATCTGAGACTCTGGGGTTTAGGATGTCGGGTTGAAGGGTTTCGGGCTGTAGTTGTTTGGGGGTTAGTGGAATGTGTAGTAGGATCCAATTTGTGTGTTTCGCTTATCTCTTGGGGAACCCTATCATGGAACTCGTAACCGATGCCAGTGACCCTTATCACCAGACGAAATGTCGAGTCTTTATCATACACTGTACTTTTTGCTGTTTCGGGTAAGTGTACGAGTGAGTACTACTGTCACTTCTCAGTCCAATGGTCATACCTGCTCCTGTAATGTGTATTCTATCTTAATCTCATGTAGCCTGTCTCCTGACCTGCTGCTGCAAGCGGCAGCATGGCCGAGATCGCGCAACCAACACTCTTTCGTGCAGAGTGGAAGTAGCAGAAAAGCTGGACTCACAGCACACCTTTCTTCTTGCAAACTGGCCAGAACGACGACGCGCCATAGCGCATAGGTGCTCTTGTGCCTGCGAAGCCAAAGCTGGTGATCTCGGGGTTTCTATGGGTTTCCCCACAATGCTTCATGTCACAATCGTCCCCACCTGCGCGAGGAGCAAAAGCACCTGGCAAGCGTGATGCAAATCTGCTTTTGCTGTGCCTGAGCACCTGCACGCTCGTTTGAGAGAATCACTGGGTTTCACATTTAAAGCTTCAAGCTTTGACGTTTTGAATGGCTCTGACTCCGCAAGCCACCTGCACCATTTCTCTTCGTGAAAAGATGCAAGTGGCGCAAGTAGTTCAGGTGGTGCAAGTGGTTCAAGCGGTGCAAGTGGTCCAAGTGGTTCAAGTGGTGCAAGCGGGGCAAGATTGCAAGATTGACCAAAATGGGGAAGATGGGCAAAATCTTGGTCCCAAAGAGCGCGCTTCGTTTCCCAGCACAATGTGATAGTAGCAGTAATAGTGGCGGTAGTGGTCGTAGTAGCAGTCGTAGTCGTAGTCGTAGTAGTCGTAGTCGGTGTTGTCGTAGTAGTCGTAGTAGTCGTAGTAGTCGTAGTAGTCGTAGTACTCGTCGTCATAGTGGTTGTGGTTGTTGTAGCATTGTCGCAGCGGCAGCAGCAGCAGCAGCGGTGTGGCTGGAGTAGAAATAGGAGGAATAGGAAAGCTCTTCGTCACTGAATCCGTATTCCTGCAGAGCGACCTTCGATGACACGCTCGACACGCTCATGCTGAGCGAGCCGTCGCGAGCTATTGCTAGATGACAAATTCAGCGTTTTATGGAGGCCTTTTCTTACTCGGTGGAATAAGCACTCAAAGCCCGCCTCGTCAGAGCTGATGCTGAAGCTGCAAAGGCTGTCCTGGCAGGACCAGGTGCAGATGTCAGTTTAGGTTTTGAAAGTTTAGCGCATGGGGGTTCTGTTCAGGCCTCTTTCCAGCCGAAGATGTAGGATTTTGGAGTTTAGCCCGAAAGCCCGAACTCTAAACATGTAGCCCCGCTAGTGCCACTCTTGTTATCCACACATGTGCTTCACACTTCACGGCATACGAGTGGGAGGAATAGCGTATAAAAGAAATTTATATGATATTAGTTAATCTAATAAGACACGATACAATATAGCGTGTGAACCATGATGTGACACAACAGCAGTACATATTTTTCTATACTGTAGTATATTGTAAGTCATGAAAAACCAATACGAAGCCACAGAAAACCAGGTTGTATAACGTTGAATTAAATAGATATATATATATATATATGTATATGTATATGCATATGTATATGTAGTACATTAATACCAACGAAAGATCTCTCTCATGGAAAATACTGTGACAGAAACTGCATATACATCAATATACACACATAGAAATCTCCCGATGGCGTATACTATCACATGTATATACTTAATGTTCTATAACATGACTAGCATAACATAAGGAGTAGAATGTGAAATTTATTGAACAATGTGTATACGATCCTATACAAAAACCTTTCTATAAAATCATATCAAGATACGATTCTCTAACAATGTGTGAAGAAAACTATTTGCAGATAAACAACTCGAACATATAGTAACATATACGACATAGTATATGACAAGATTTGATACGACCCGACGGAACACAATCGAACATACAAGTAGCAGTACAGCTTACGTAATCCTACACACTTATATATAGGCTGTTAAAATCCAGACTCGAAACACGTGATTGTACATGTGCACAAGATACAGAATTCAACATACGAAGAGGATTTAGACTAAGCTGTTGGTCCACCTCAAATCTGCGCACTCTTCTGAACAGGTTGGCTGGCAGAGTTCAACAGTCTCGATCCTGTGGCGCTGTATGAACGCTGATAGGAAAGACTTTTGTGCGAGAGTGCTGGTTGCAGGGGTATCTGAGTGGCTGCAACTTCTGGAGGGCTTGAAGCTGATTCAAAATTTGACTATCGTCCTACCACCCATATCCTACGTGGGGTCTCTCGTGAGGATTTGGAAAAACTCGCGCACGTCCTAACACTTCGCTCGTGAACCTAGACGGCGTCCCATCTGCCAACAAATAGAGCTTCCATAAACTCACATCTAGAACAAAGATTTCAGTATAGATTTGCAAAAATGATGGTGACTGAAAGGGCCGTTGACGGCTAGCCTGACTCCAACCATGGAAGCTACAAGACCCTGCAAACAGAAGCTCTGACGCACAAAGAAGTCACAAAGACAATATTGCCAAGTCAGACTGCGGCCGTTCTAGTGTTTGTCGTTTGTTATTCGAAAGAACTGCCCGTATGGCAATCCGCGCCGGGTCCGCGTCTTCTGACTCTTCGCCCTCGGCAGCTTCCGACTGTCAAAAAGTTGCACCCGGAACTTCGGGGCTTGAGGGATGTCTTACTGTAAGTTTCGGGTTCAGGATTTGGAGCGCTCGGTGGTACTACTGCTACTACTTGTACTACTACTACTACTACTCCTACTACTATTACTACTCCTACTACTAGTACTACTATTTCTACTCTACTTCTGCTACTGCTACTGCGAAGCAGCGCCAACCTCTGGGGCCTTCCTCC